CATTCATCTCCCTTCATCTCCATGCACAGAAGCTCGTGCAACAGTAAGAAGAGGTTCGACCGCAGCAAGCCTACGGATCTCGCGTGTTGAGTGAAAGAACTAAATCTATTCTCCGCGTACTAGGGGTAGTCTAGGTAGAGCTTGAAAAACCTGGCAGAGTAGAAGACATGTAGTCAACTAGTAATTCTGAGGCGTACGCACGTTTCGGCCGGAGCCTTCATCAGCGCCATCTCAGTTTTACAAGAGTGGCTAAGATCTCCTTTTCTACCCTCTATCCTTGCTCTACCCCGAAATTCCCCAGGTACTAGTCCCAAGAGCGGTCTGCCAGCTATTCATCTAGCTGGGTGCCGTTGTAACTCGCCATGCAGAGTTCTGCCAGCTATTCTACCAACTACGAATTCAATTCCACACCTACCACGAATTCAATTCTTCAACTACCACGAATTCAATTTGTTGACCTCGAGGTAGACGCATCCCCGCTTGAGAAACGCCCTCTTACCAGAAAGTTGTGTAACTTTCGTGGTAATCTCCAACCAATTACGAATCTTGGGAGTTGTAGTCCTTGCGAGTGATTTTTGAGAATTCTCAAAAATTCCCCCAATCCCAAGTCCAATGTTTTTGGACATCTTCTTACCTTCCAGGAGTGGGGGGCCTCCCTTGTCTGTTTGTCTCGGCAGGATTGGAGCAGGTTGTGTCGATCTTGGAATCTGACTTGATTGAAGATTGGCCGGAGGAAATAGTCCGGGTATCCTCTTGCCTTCAGCCTGTTGAAGAAGAGTACCTTCCGCTCCCAGAAGGTGTTGAACGAGGAGTTGCGAATGCAGTGACGTTTGAGCTCACTGGAGATAAATCCCTTCTTGCACTCTCTTGAGTGAAAGGAAGAGAAGGGAATGTAGAGGTAGCGATTCAGAGGTTTCCGAAATGTCGCCAAGTCAAGAATCCCGTTCTGTTTGAAGCGGTCTCCTTTGAAGAGGGAGACGTCCAGGAACTCAATCTTCTCTTGACTGATCTCCCATGTAAACTTGATTGTTGGACGTAGGTTGTTGAAGGCCGATAGGTAGTCTTCGAGGGTCTTCTTGCAGCCGTCCCAAAGTATCAGCCCATCATCTATATACCTAAGATGTAATAGTGGCTTGTGGGCTACCTTCCGGCTTAGTTCCTCGTCTAGCCAACTCATAAACAGGATGGCAAAAACGGGTGCAACCGGGGTCCCCATAGCCGTCCCTCTAACCTGATGGTATGCTCCATTATCAAATTGTACATACGAATTGAACATGACCCATCTAAGAAGTTGAATGAGAAGGGGCCTAAGAGAGTGATTCTCCTTCCAAAGTAACCTATCTACTGCATCTATCCCTTCAGTAATGGGAATTGAGGGATACAAATTTTGCACGTCATACGTACAAAGGATGATACTGGAGGGTAATTGTTTTTCTTCCAGAGAGAGAACAAGTGAAAGACTGTCCTTGAGATAAGTCTTCTGTTTTGAAAGTAGTGGTCTCAACTGCTGATCCAACCATTTGGAAGTTGTAGTGGTAATCCATGAGTGTGAAGCTGCAATGGGTCTTCCAACCGGTATTTTTTTATGCATCTTCAGAAGAATGTAGAAGTAAGCAGGTCTCCATCCATTCTCAGGTGGAGTCTCGAGATAATCCCAAACCTTCTTTGAAAGGCAAGGACCAAAGTCTCTTCGAATCCTTGAAAATCCTTCTTAAATTTGAGACATGGGGACAGTGCCCACAGGTCTGTAGACCAGTTGATCAAGAAGATGTTTCATGACCATCTGGATGTAGAAACTCTTATCCATCACTGTGATCCCGAGATTTTTATCTGCAGGTTTCACAACAATAGATGGGTCAGTCCTGAGGGTTCTCAAAGCATGCCTCAGATTTCTGGGCATGTTTGATTGCCTCTTGGGTCTTGCATCCAGCAGTTTATGCTGAAGCATCCCCCTGTGTTCATCCACTAGTACATCAAGACATACATTTCTCTTATCAAGAGGAACATCCCAAGAAGAATTTGGAACTCTAAATCCCTTCCCCCTAACTGTATCACCAAAGAAAATTCTCAGCCTGAGATTTCTACTGAAATTGTCAAAACTTTGAAGGACATCCATATCTGAAGTATACTGAGCAACTGCTGGCGTAGGAACAAAATTCAGTCCTAGCCCCAAGGTCCTTTCTTCATCAGCTGTGAGTTTCTTGCTGCTGAGGTTGAAGATACTTCGATTCCGTACTCTCCTTTTGAGCTGGGACTCGGTCATTCTCCCGAAGTAGAACAAAGCCAAGTCATGATCATTCATCTCACTTACCCTCTCCCCCAGAGGTTGCCTCTTCCTCGGAAACGTCCTCCTCCTTCTCCTTCGCGTCCTCTTCCTCTTCCCCCCCTCCCTCTCCCCATCCCTCTCCCATATCCGTTTTTTGGATCAAAGGATTGATCACGAGGGATGTAGTGGCTCTGGCCTGGATTCTGGATCCCGTACTGCTGCTGCCACTGATTGTTCCAATCTCCTGGAGTTGGATTTGGTTGGTGGAAGGGTTGGTTAGAGGCTTGAGGAAAAGGTCGATCAAACCTATGCTGAGGTTGGTGGTTGAAGGTTGGAGTGACAAATGTCTGCTGCGAGTGGTATCCCTGTGGGGGTTTCTGCTGCTGCTGTTGCTGCTGCTGCTGCTGCTGCTGACGGGGTTGCTGCTGCCGCTGCTGTTGCTGCTGCTGCTGCTGCTTTGGCTGACCCTGCTGCCCCCGTGCCTGCGTTTCGGTTTTCTTGAAAAGCTGCTTCTCAATGGCTTCCAGCCTCTTAGAGAAATCATCCTTGTTGATGCGGGTAGCCTTGTCTACAAGCTCCTGCACCGATGGTTCAACATCCATGTTTTCTGCTGCTGCTTTTGCACCCATCTTACGCTGTGCCTCCAGCTGGGCAGCTTGTTGGACGTTCATGTACGAGACTGTCTCCTCGACCGTAATGTCCTTAATGGCTTTGGAGAACATCGCCAACAGCTTCTGTTCCCAGAGGATGAAACTCTCGGTGAATAGGGCTTATGGTCCCATCTCCCGAGTTTTCTGCAGTTGAAGGCGAAAATCTTCGTTCGCATTCTCGATGCTCGTAGTTAGCTTCTGCAGCTCCTTCTCGTGAAGCTTGATGAGGGTTTCGAAGCAGGATTTGTGGTATTTCTGCTCCAGCCGCTTGAATTCTTCATTCCCCTCCAATTTGATTTCTGCGTCATTCCCCAAATAGGTCATTGGGGTAGACTTGAAACTCTTCGGTAGCTTCCCTTCGGAGAATAGACTCTGAAGTCGCTTCACTTTGGTAGTCAGTTTCAGCTGCTTGACAGTCGCCTCCCTGAAGAGTTTGCAGTAGTACTGCAGTTGGTTGACGAACACATCAGGAACTTTGTCTTCATGTGTCTGTTCCATGTTCGCAGTTGAAGAAGACGCCTGTGGAGTCCGTTGAGCAGCCCGAAAAGCTTCAAAGGCAGTTGCCCAAACTTGCTGCTGCAAGAGTTCCTGCTGCTGTCGAAGCTGTTGCTGCAGATGCTGATCTCTCTCAGTTCCCTGCGCATCACCCTGACCTCCTCCTGTTTCGGTCGCCTGGCCTCCTTGACCATTTGCTGCATGGGCAGCTGCTTCTAACGCTTGGCGCTGAGCAGCTTGAGCCGCATGTGCGGCTTCTACACCTTGAACGAAATTCTCCATCGAAGATGTAATTTCGAATTCTGCTTCGTAAGAGTCAGGGACAACTTCAGCAACTGTCGTCGTTGGATTCTCTACTCGATCCGTTTGTGCCAAAACGCTACGCACGGTAGAGCAGTTGTTCACTAATCCCCTTCGAAGATCAGTAGATCCGTTGGCGGATTTGCTTTTCTGAAGTCTCCCGCGATTGACCTCAGTCAGTTCCGCAGTACTACGAGAAAATTCTGCAAAACACGGTGGTAGTAACGATGTCGAAAGTAAGGAAGTAGCTCTTACGAAACCAGGAAATTGGGTCCTAAAGCTGTAGCCTTCTTGTCCGCGTGTGCTGGAAACGTGATCTGTCGCGATAGTGTCACCTCTGGCGATCTGTTCGTCGAGGTTCGCTTCAGGCCACGATCGTCAGTCATATGAGATTCACGCGAGTAAATCCGGGCTCGGCAGGTCCTCAAGCTAGCACAGAAGCTCGTGCAACAGTAAGAAGAGGTTCGACCGCAGCAAGCCTACGGATCTCGCGTGTTGAGTGAAAGAACTAAATCTATTCTCCGCGTACTAGGGGTAGTCTAGGTAGAGCTTGAAAAACCGGGCAGAGTAGAAGACATGTAGTCAACTAGTAATTCTGAAGCGTACGCACGTTTCGGCCGGAGCCTTCATCAGCGCCATCTCAGATTTACAAGAGTGGCTAAGATCTCCTTTTCTACCCTCTATCCTTGCTCTACCCCGAAATTCCCCAGGTACTAGTCCCAAGAGCGGTCTGCCAGCTATTCATCTAGCTGGGTGCCGTTGTAACTCGCCATGCAGAGTTCTGCCAGCTATTCTACCAACTACGAATTCAATTCCACACCTACCACGAATTCAATTCTTCAACTACCACGAATTCAATTTGTTGACCTCGAGGTAGACGCATCCCCGCTTGAGAAACGCCCTCTTACCAGAAAGTTGTGTAACTTTCGTGGTAATCTTCAACCAATTACGAATCTTGGGAGTTGTAGTCCTTGCGAGTGATTTTTGAGAATTCTCAAAAACCTTCACTCCCACGCCATGCCCCTTCCATCTCCCATCCTATCGACCGCCCCTTCCACTCTCTCACCATCTCACCCTCGCATTTGTCCCCACCTTCACTCCCACGCCTGCTCTCCCCCTCAGTTCAGCCCCTTCCATTCCCTCATCATCACTTTTCTGCTTTCCTCTTCGCCTTCATCCCCACGCCGAACTCCTACACGATTCGTTTCTCGTTTTTTCTTCAAACGGGTCCTTTCCATCCAATCCGTGATTGCGTGCAGGGATGGTGGGAGCATGGCTTAAGGGATCCAATGCTGACCTCACTGCTGACGCCAACGCCACAGGCTCCCTTTCTCTTGCCGTTTTCCTGTGAGCATCTAGAGCCTCTCGTGCATTCAATTCTCCCTCTTTTCTTTCAGTCTTTGCCTTTCCCTTTGTGCTCTCCCTTTGCCTCTCCCTTTGTGCTCTCTCTTTGTGCTCTCCCTTTGCCTCTCCCTTTGCCTCTCCCTTTGCCTCTCCCTTTGTGCTCTCTCTTTCCCCTCGTTCTCTCTTCCTCCCCTCACTTCTCCCTTCACCCCCTCACCCTCCTCTCACTCTATCTTCCCATTCTTCCCTCACTGCCTCACACTCCAGTTCCTTCTCCCCTCCTTCTCACCTGCTTCCCTCCTCCTCCCCCTCCTCCTCCCTTCATTCTCGAGTCCTCCTTTTCCCCTCACTCCCTCACCCACCTCACTCTCTCATTTCCCTCACTCCCTCGCCCCGCTCACTTTCTTGCCACCCTCCCCCCCGCAGCAACGGCACCACTAAAGACTGCGACATTCTTTACACCATCGGCGTGACTCTCACCAACCCCGGCGAGCCCACCCGCGTCGTCATCATGAAGGGCGCTGATGTGGCACTCACCGTGGCCACCAGCAGCGCCACGTGGACCAATCTCACGCTCTCGGACGCCGAGCGCGCCAAGCTGGTCGCCGAACGAACTCCCTCCAGTAAACCCTGCCCTTTCGAATACGACCGATGCCTAATCCTTAAAGCCGAAGAAGCAGCCAAGCTGGCCGAGCTACCCCCCCTCCCTCCCCTCGGCTACGCCTATGAAACCACCGGCACTTGGCTAAGCGCCAGTACTTTGAAGGCAGATAACGGGCAGACGTACAAAGAGCTGGCGGATGCCATGCTGGCTGCTCCTGACGCTTACTCTGCTCTCGTCTTTGCCGAGGTTGAGGCTGGGACGGCGAGTGGTGCTTTTGCCAATAGTACGCTGACAGCTGGCAATGGGACTGTGGCAGGTACCCAGGCTGCCAAATTGAGCGTTAAGTTGTTGGGCCATAGAACTTATGGGGCATATGGTCGAGGTTACCCTTAAGGGTCGGACCGGATTCCAATGATGGAACACTGCAGGGACTTAGTGCTGGGGTTGTGAATAAGTGGTAGAGTGGAAGTTTTGTGCTTGTATAGTGTTGCCTTTTGCTTGTTTTTGTTGTACCGTACCGTATATATGCGTCTGTGTAGTGTTTCCTTATGAATGAGCGTTTGCTTGTATTTTGGAAATGATGATTTTGTTCTTCACACTTGCATGGCTAGACTGGATCCCTTAGTGCATCAGCGTGACTATAACGAGGGCTAGCAAGGCTGCTTTGTCACCATCCATTGTGGTGCTGACACAGTGATGGTTATCATTGCTAGACTTGGTTCTGCAGGGGTTTTGCTGATACAACCAAAGGATCAGTGGATAGGATAGAACGTGTTAAGCCTGAGAGGAGACAGTGAAGTCTCTGTAGTGACCTTGTTAAGAAAAGGTTGAAAAAGAACAAGATGATAAGAAAATAGGAGTACAAGAAATTAAATAGTGAACTATCTAGTCATGTACTCTGAGGGGTACATTCCTTTATTAAATGTGTTAGGCCCGCTGGCCTAAGTCCGCTAAAGAATTAGCGGGGTCGACTAAGTCGAGGATGAAGCGCGGCGGAAGACTTTGGCGAAAGAACTACTAGCGAAATAGGCGAAGGAGTTACTGAGTAATTGAAGAAGAGTTGAATGAGAATTGGTTGATAATGCCGAGTACAAGCAAGGTTTTTAAAGCATGCAAGAAACAAGGTTGGAAAGTGGATTGTGGGACCAAGAATTGTAGTGCAAGAAAAGTAGAGTGCCACGTGGCACTAGAGAATCTGAGAAGATAAGGATAAGGGTGACTTGGAAAGTACTGTTCGGAATGAACAGTAAATCCCCCCTTAACAAACTGCATTACATAGCTACAGTAACCACGACTATTGCTATTCTCGACAGTTACCGTGTTGCAGTCTGTTAACTGTCGCGCGGTTACTGGATCGTCAAGGGTCACGACCGTTGACTATCTTGGACGGTTGACCTTCGGGTGACCCTCGAGATTCCGCGTGCTCTATATGAGCTAATGCGGTACTAGTACAGTGGAGCAACTTCGGGAATGCCTTTATAACCTTTCGGTTATTCCAACACTCCCCTTCATTCCAGAAGGTGGGCCACGTGGGATTTCTTGGTGATCCCGCAGAGGTCGGCGCAGTGCTGGTACTGCTGACGTGGCAGTTTCTTCGTCAGGAAGTCGGCTGCCATGTCACCGGTCGGGCAGTAAGTCAGCTTGACTCTCCCCTTGTCGATTTCGTCCTTCACGAAGAAGTAGCGAAGGCCGATGTGCTTGGTGCGGTTGACGAAGCCGGGCTTGTTCGCGATCTTTATCGCGCTCTGATTGTCGCAGAGTAACGTGAAATGCCCGTTCATCGTCACTTTCGCCTCTTGCAGGAGCTCCATCAGGTACAGGCCTTCGCGAACAGCTGCGCTAGTTGCGATAAATTCTGCTTCAGCTGACGAAAGAGCGATGAGTTCCTGCTTCTGTGAGTTCCAAGAGATGAGTCCAGCAGGTTGGAGTTGGAAAATGAATCCTGTACGGGAGCGTCTGTTATCAACATCTCCAGCATGATCGGCATCCACGTAGCCATGAAGCTGCAGAGTAGCGGTGAGGTTGGCTTCGTAGGTGAGGCCGACGTCGGGAGTGGAGATGAAATACTGTAGTGCTCGGCGTAGATCCAGTAGATTCTCCCCTTCAGGTCGCTTCAGATACTGTGCGAGCTGGCTAGCGACGTAGGAGAGATCGGGCCGGCACGTGACGGCGGCGAACAGGAGGCAGCCGAGCTGCTGCTGATAGAGACGATGGTCGTCAGGAGAGAGTGGCGTGGTGTCGGGCTCGTGGTTAGGAGGAGGAGTGCGGTAGGGGGTAGTGAGATTAATGGGAGCGATGGCGAACCGCTTCGCGAGTGTTTCGGCGTATTTGGCGGCGGAGAGGTGAATGGAGGAGGCGGACTGGGTTACGTTGAGGCCGAGGAATTGGGTGACGTTGTGATTGACGGTGACTTCAAGTTTCGTTTTGATGTCGGCCTCGAATTGGTCGAGTAGCTCCGTGTCGTCCCCGGTGTAGAGGAGATCGTCGACGTAGGCGACGAGGAGGATGAACTTTCCGCGTGAGTCCCGCCTGTACATTCCGAGATCGTGCGGCAGTTGAGTGAAGCCGAGCTCAAGGAGGACGGAATGCAGATACTGCTGCCACAGACGAGGAGCTTGCTTGATTCCGTAGAGAGACTTTTGGAGGAGGCACACGGCGCCGTCGCTTTCTTCGAATGCGTGGGGTTGTTCGACGAAGATGATGGCATCAACGGGAGCGTACAGGAAGGCGCTTCCGACGTCGATTTGCCGGAGCGGTCGCTGTTTGACGGCGGCGATGCAGATGAGGATGCGCACCGAAGTGTGACGGCCGACTGGAGCGTAGGTGAGGGTGAAGTCCACCAGGTGAGTTTGCTCGAATCCCCGCACCACCCAGCGCGCCTTGTACTTGTCGATCGAGCCATCGGCGAGAGTTTTGATGCGGAAGACCCACTTGCCGCTGAGAATTTTCCTCCCCTTTGCCGATGACCGTGGGACCAGCTTCCAGGTGCCGCGCTTCTTCAGCGACGCGATTTCGGCGGCCATGGCTGCTCTCCATTTGTCGCTGTCGGGGCCAGACAGGGCTTGGCGGACGGTGGTGGGTTCCTTGGGCGAGGTGTGGCGAACTGCAACGGCGAGGCCGAGAACCCGAAGACCGGTTTCGTTGGTCTTTTCGTAGAGAAGACGGTCGTAGTCGTGGGAGCTGGTAACTTCGACCACGTCGTCATCACTGTCGTTGCCGAGGCGGAGGGTGTCTTGCGACAGGTTGGGTTGTGGTAACTCGGCATCGGGTGATCGGCGCGTTGCGCTGTTGTAGTTGTGAGCTTCGCGTGTTATAGCATCCGGATCGAATTGGTGTACGGGCACGAATGTCGGAGTTCCGAGTGGGCTCGTAAGGGGGATGTTTGGAGCAGAGTCCATCTGGGTGACATCAGGTGCGTCTGCATCCTCGGCCAGGTCAGCTTCGTCGTGTGACGTGGCGAAGCTGCGGTGGCCCTCGAAGAGCCTCTCGAGCAGTTTGTCAGCTTCCTGGTGCTCCTTAAAAAGGGGCAGAGTCAGCTTCTCGTAGAAGATGCAGTCACGTGATTTTGTCACTTCGTGTGTCGCGTAGTCCAGTACGATCCACGCCTTGAATTCTTTTTCGATTCCGAGATGGATGCCCCATCGTGCCCGGTCTGCAAATTTTCCCGTCCGCGCAGTATGGGGTCTGTACTGTACCATGCACCCGAACACCCGAAGTAGGCGTGTATCTGCTTTTCTGCCCGTCCAGGCCCGGTAGGGAGAGTTGTTGTCCTTGAGGCTTCGCGAAGACAGCAAGTTGTGCAGCCGAACAGCGTGATTCATCGCAAACGGCCAATATTTGGTTGGGATGGCCGACTGCTTCATCAGAGCCCTCATCCGCGTGGCGAGGCTCCTGTTTGTCCGTTCTGCTACACCTTGCTGTTGGTGGGCGTAGGGCAGAGACACCAGGTGCTCGATCCCCTTCTGCTTGAAGAGCTCTTTGAACTCGTCCGAGAAGAACTCCAGGGCTCCGTCTGTCTGCCAGGCCTTTAGCTTTAGTCCAGATTGTCGCTCGGCCCTCTTCATCCACGCAATGAAGCACTCGAAGGCCAGTGACCTAGAGTCGGTGTTGATGGCCCAGACGTAACGCGTAGAGGCGTCAATGAAGGTTAGCGTGTACTGCTCCCCTTCGAGCCCTTCTTGGCTGAGTACCATGAAGTCGCTGTAGACCTTATCCAGCGGTTTGTAGCGCTCGTACCCTGGTGGTAAGTCTGGGAATGGTTGGTGGTTGAGGGATGCAGTCGGGCAGACGATGCACGGCGGATTGGGAGAGTCCGCGGTGAGGGAACCGTCTCGGGGGAGGAGAAGTGCTTCGTCATCGAAAACTCCGGCCTTGAGCGAGTTTTTGAGCGTGGCGTGAGAGGGATGTCCAAGCCGTTGGTGCCATGTTGCTGGGTCCGCACGGTAGCCGACTGTTTTCTGATAATATTTTTGCCGTGCTGCCTCGTCGTTTGCCTCCCCTTCAGGTCCTGTGTCAGCGGCGTTGTCCGTTTCGGCGGCGAGTGCGCGAATTGCATTTCTTTCCAGAAGCGCGCGGGGAATACCGATGATGTCGTCGGTATCGCCAGCATCGGCTTGGTCTCCGGTGACAAGGAGGCATTGACTGGGCCAGTCCCGAGCGGGGAGTCCCGACATGGGGATCCTGTAGTAACTGTATTCAGCACCAATGACTTCAATTTCTTGGGGTCCTTGTACCGGCGGCTCTGGCTTCAGGTAATTCCGCTGGTCCCCCCATGAATTCGTAGGTCTCTTCTTCCTCTGACTCTTCTGGAATCGGTTCGGGTGTGTCGGGGGCGTACTGATTCGGAAGGGGAGGACCTCCCCAGCAGGTGCCGCGAGTTGCCCAGTACGGGTCGATGATGGCTACTTCCGCGGGAAGAAGGCCAGCTGCTACAGTGTGCCCTTGTTCCGCCTCGCCCGAAGCGCCCCAGCCTCCCCCGGCGCCCCACGTGTCTCCGGTAGTCCTTGCTTCTCCGACCTCTGTGTCTTTGACTTCTGCGCCAACTTCCCCAGATGGGGCAGGAGGAGTCCAGCCAGTGCCACTTTCCACGGCTGGGGTAGGGGGAGTTCCTCGGCCTGTCGCAGCAATATCTTCTGTTGCGACGGCACCCCATCCACTTGTGGCCGCTTCCTCTGGAGTTAGGACTTCGCCCCAAGATCCAAGTGCAGGTTCGGAAGTGTCCCAGCCTGTCCAGCGCGTTTCCGCCGGCGTGTTTTCCTCGGCAGGTTGTGTTGTGGGGCCTGACGTGCCACTGTCTTCCTCCATTGTGGCAGGTCCGGTCTCAGCAGGATTCGAGGTCGAGGCGGTCGGGACAGTGCGCAAGCGCAGAAGGCCGTCAGAGGCGGGTCGCTCGAGGTCCATCTCGTCGGGATGTGACCACGTTGGCGCCTCCGTGGGAGTTGTCTTTAGGAGCAGCGTGCGGTGGGAATCGCCGGTTGTGCCCTGAGCCGAGAACTGCAGCACGAAGACTCCGTCGTCGTCGATCGCCTTTCCGATGTAAGAGTCATTATAAAAGAGCTCGAAGGTCTTTTCGTTGCGGTTGCTGCGAATGTCGATTCCGCATCGCATGAGTTGAGCTGACGAGAGAAGGTTGTATTGGAGATCTGGCGCAACGAGGACGTCTCAGATGTGAATGGTAAATTTTGTGTCATTCGCCTCGAGGTAGATCTCCCCAATCTCGTGTGCTTTCATTTTTCCGTTGTTGGCCGCGGTGATTTCGCAGGGTCGTCGCATGCGCCGAGAGTTGCTGATGAACTTTGATGATCCCACCATGTGTTGCCCGCAGCAACTGTCAAGGTACCACGTGTCTAGATCCTCGTGGCGCTGGCGGGCAAGGTTGGCGATCTTGGGCGTAATGATGCGATCGAAGTCGCCGGTGTACGGCGAGAGAGCGAAATATCTGTTTGCGGGAATGCTCGGCGGCGATTCCGGAGTAGGAGGAGGAAGCTCGAAGTCAGGAGGGATGTCTGAAGGGCGAGTCGACCAGGTAGAAACCGTTGGGTCGTTATCTGAGCTGGGCGCAACGGGGGTGGGGTTGTCGGAAGGGAATGAAATTCGATCCCGATCCCAGTAGCGGAACCCTCTGCTGCGGCGAGCCATGCAGCTTATGACCGTCCCTTTCCCTTTGTCCTTTGCCGAGATGACTGCAGGGGACCGAGAAGTGCTGGCGACCGAGGGAGGCGACACAGTGGAGGTTGCGGTGGCGAGCTTGGATTGAGCTGAGGGTTGCTGATTGGAGGCGTTGCGCCGTTCATCAGCAGCCTGACGCTTGTAGCACTGGTCGATGGAGTGGCCAGACTTCTTGCAGTATTTGCAGAAAGCTCCCTTCTTTCCGCGTTGCTCCCCTTGGGATCCTCCTGTGTAGAAGGCTAATTTTTCCCGCTTGACGTTCTTCTCGTTGTACAGGTCGATCTCCTTCTGCTCTGAAAGAAGCGTGGCGCACAGAGCCGACTCCGATATGGTTGCTCGGGCGCGAAGGAGTGACTGGCACTGACGCCAGTCGGGGCCAAGGCCTGAAATGACCATTGAGATGAACATGTCGTCGGGGACAGAACCACCGCACTTCTTAACTTGATCGCGCAGATTGCGGCACCGATTAACATACGGTCCCGCTTTCTCCCCTTGCTTCATTTTAACCGAAGTTAGTTGACTGAGCAGGCGACTCATAGTGACTGGATCTGTTGCCATGTATGAGTTGCGCAGGTGTTCCCAGGATGCGTGCGCGGGAGCCCACTCCGTCTTGTACGGACGAATGCCGAGCTGCTCTTCAGGTGAGAGATTGCGAAGGAGAGCGGTGTACGCGAGAAGTGATTCGTGGTAGTACTGATGCTTCTCCTGGATGGTGCCTTCCGAGGGAAAAGGCAGACTTCCGTCGTAGTACATCCAGATCTGAGCGGTTGTCGCAAGAAGCTCGAATTCGAAGCTCCACGTGTAAAAATCCTTCCCGTCGAAGGGAATTGAGGTCTTCAATTTTGAAGTCAGTACAAATTTGGTTTGCATTGAAGCGATGTCTGACTGCGACCGTTGTGGGTTGTCTTGTGCAGGAGCTGACCCTTGACGATTGTCAAAGGTGAAGGATCTCTCGGAGTTGACGCGGCGGTCTTCTCCAGGGAGAGGAAGTCCAGCAACGCCACGTGCATAGCTTGAGCCATCAATGCTCATAGCCTGATGGCTTTCAAGAGCGTTGACGCGTGCAACTAGCTGCTCAACGACAGCGGCGTTGACGGAGGTCACCGCTGATGGCGCGTTAGTAGTTGCTGGTGGTGGGCCCGGTGAGTCTGCAATAGCTTTCCCTTCAGGAGCCATAGTGTTGCAGACCTTAAAATGTGATAATTGATTTTATGAAAGGATTGTTCTAGGAAGAACGAGGGCTTGACAGATCCTATAATCCACTCTAGCTCTCATACCATGCTGATACAACCAAAGGATCAGTGGATAGGATAGAACGTGTTAAGCCTGAGAGGAGACAGTGAAGTCTCTGTAGTGACCTTGTTAAGAAAAGGTTGAAAAAGAACAAGATGATAAGAAAATAGGAGTACAAGAAATTAAATAGTGAACTATCTAGTCATGTACTATGAGGGGTACATTCCCTTATTAACTGCATTACATAGCTACAGTAACCACGACTATTGCTATTCTCGACAGTTACCGTGTTGCAGTCTGTTAACTGTCGCGCGGTTACTGGATCGTCAAGGGTCACGACCGTTGACTATCTTGGACGGTTGACCTTCGGGTGACCCTCGAGATTCCGCGTGCTCTATATGAGCTAATGCGGTACTAGTACAGTGGAGCAACTTCGGGAATGCCTTTATAACCTTTCGGTTATTCCAACAGGTTTGAACTAAGTTCTCTCCAGCTTTCCCGCGCCATCCTAAGGTGTGATGAGCAGGTTTCCAGCTTTCTTTAATGTCACGAAGGTTGGTGAAGAGTGGTAGGTAATCATGTTGGCCGTTAAAGCCTTGTGGTTTGACTTAAATGGCGATGGGTACTACTCATAACAACGAGGTCGAACACCTGAAATCAGTGGCAATATGTTTTCCTATGTGGCATGGCTTGGTGGTTAGACCTTGATGTTCCATGCAACTTACTTGACAGTCAACATGCACAATTGCGCTCAATATTGAGACTAAAAGGACAGAGTGAGATCTTGTCCTGCGTGTGGAGTATCTTCTAACGCGGTAACATCAAGTTCCCTCACGGGGCGAGTGATAAGCGGTCAACACGTCATTTACAGCAAGAACCACGCTGGATGGATCTCAGCACGCATGCATCGCGTCACCGATCTGGAAAAATTGCGCCACCACCAGTGGGGATGACGTGATGCAGGCAAGATCTCGTACCACGTGGCTGTGACGATTCACACCTCCATGGGCCTGGCACCGACAAGAAACATACAGGGAGAGTTCAGAATCGCAATGTAATTAGAGGAACCGATCTGTCTGACCTTCATCTATCTTCCTTCCACAGCCTTGACTGTGCTTGTGCTTAGGACATTGGCGGTTGTCGAAGGAACACGAACCGTACGATTGCCGATCGACGTCCAAGGGCGGATGAAGCCCCGAAGGAACATGCACACCGCAAGCGTGGTGCAGTACATAACGACTACCTCCCGCATCGCGACGACTCGGAAGTGGTGGACTGGCGAGGTGTTTTGGCGGGATGGTGATGACGGTATGGGGAGCTTCTTTTCCTTCCACTAGCAGCCTGGTGTAGCGCGTTTCGCTAGCATACTTCCGTTCGTTTCGTAATATTCACTTTCCTTTTCCCCGGAACACTTCCTCGTGCCAATTTTTTTTTCGCCCCAGCGTTTTTCCTCTCGTCCCTCGTGCTTGAGCTTCGCACGCTCCCTCCCTCGCTTCTTCGGAGACAAGGGACGAGAGGAGGTACTTAGCCTTTTTAATGAGGGGGCGAGAGGAACCGCATAGCTTTTCAATAAGGGGCGAGTTTTTTGCACCGTTGGCAGTAGCGTCGAGATAGTAAGACGAGCGAGAATTTTGCTGAATTACCAGGAGTTATTGCCACAGTGTGAGGAGCTTTTTGTTTTGAATCTAGACGCGTTGTGCCCATCGGTTACCGGAGCCGCTTTAGGGTTCATTTTTTCCCATCTGTAACTTTCCGAAGGATTCTCGGTAGCACCGAGCACTTCAGTTGTTGGTTTCACAGTACCACCCGTCGCACGTCAAATCAGCCATGGCGGCTCTCTACAGCATCTTGGCGCACCGAGCAGCACGGGGGGCTTCGCGACTTCACAATAAGGCACGTCAAGGGCCTTGTCGTTTTTAGTTAGTTTGAATTTGTTTCTGGGTTACTCTAAATATTCTGGTAATGATTATTTGCCAATTTTGCAGCCGCTTGTAAATCGTGATAAACGTTGTGTGTTTCGCAATCTGCAGGTCCTGGGTGTAACCGTCCCCTCTGCTGACCGCCGTACCGCAGTTTACAGCTTTTCGCGGATCCCGCGGGAGTCTGCGCATCAGTTTCCGCCCGTTCGCCATGTTTTTCCGTTCCGCTTCCGCCAATTCTCAGCTTCCGCCGCCAGCAGCGCCCCCGGAACCCTTCCGCCCCCCGCTTCCCCCACTGCGCCGCCGTCCCCGTCCCTCTCCGCCTCCCCTTCGCCGTTGCGCTCTCACGGGGAAGGGATGGTTCTTGAAAGGGCGGCGATTTCCACGGCGGAATTCACGGCGCATTTCATGGACGGGGGAGTGGAGGAGGTGTTGGAGTCGCGTTTCATCCACGTGGCCGCTACTGCCACGCCAGCCGCATCCGCGTCGTTCTGGCCGGGAACGGGCCAGCAAATCAGCGCGCGCCACGTGGCAGGGCTGCGCGACGGACAGCCCTCTGCTTCGTTTAGCGCCGGCGGGCGCGGCGAGTTAAGGGGCGCGGATGTGAAAGACGACGGGAGCACAGGCGGAGGGGAGGGGCGCGCGGAAGTGCTCGAAGGCGGAGGGGAATCGGGGGAACGGGGGGAGGCGTTGGGTGAAAAAAGCCGCGCACCAGTGGAGGAATCTGCGCCCAGCCTTCAATCAGAGCGCAGTATGGCGGAACATATCGGGGCAGTGCGCGGAGACATGCAGGGGGGAGGCGCGGGAGGGGGAAAGGGGAAGCGGGAAGGGGCGGGGAGGAATGGGAACGGGGGAGAACCAGGGGAAAATGGGGGGCGAGAGGAAGGGGCGGTGTGGGTAGATGATTTGGATGGGAAGGGATATGTGACCCTTGGTCGACCTACTAATGTGGAGATTGGAAGCACGGAAGGGTTGCTGGGGGACCTTGCACACGTGGCACCTATGGATAGGCTGGACTCTGCCAGGCTGGCAGAACCCGAACCTGAACCCGAACCTGAGCCTGAACCTGCCGCAAACACGGACGGCAAAACTGGCACTGCTACCGCTTCAGATGCTGACAAAACCGCCAGCTGCCCGCACGCTGCGACGGGATTGGTTGAGGCGGGCGGTGGGAAGGTGGTGAACGCGATGGGGATGAGAGTGAGGGTTAAAGCTGATGCGGAACAAACCGGGGGGTCTTATAGTGTGCTGGAGTATGAGGTCCCGGCAGGGGAGGGGACGGAGGAGCACATTCACACGCGCGAGCACGAGGCATGGTTTCTGCTGGACGGGCAGATGACATGGACCATCGAAAAAGAGTGAGTATTACGAGAGAGTCACATGGTCCCTATGCCAGCTGACCTGGGTAACCAAGTGGGTGGATGTGCAAAGGGGAGGGAGTGGGAAGGGACTTGAGGAGGTGGGGAGATTGAGAGGAGAGTAATTTGGTAAAGGGGGCTTCTATTGTGTTATACATGTATGCTGTGAAATGCTGTGATGAAATTGAGGGGTTGCTTGGGGTTATTCCGTTAAGTTTCAATATTCCAATTGTTTCCGTGTCCCGTTTTCAAGATGTTCCCATTCACACCATCATCCTCACCATGTTGCATTCCCATTATCGCCATTCTCCCCATTCTCACCGATCTTTTTTGCCTACTCATCCATCCCCACAGGACCTACAAAGCCTTTCCGGGCAGCTTCATGCACATGCCTCTTGGCCGGGCGCATTCTTTCCGAAACAATTCTGACCGCCCTGCCCGAATGCTGGTGGTCTGTATGCCGGGCGGGCTGGAGAAATATTTTTTGGAGATTGGAGATCCCGAGGGGGCAGCTGGACACACATCTGAGCAGTCACCTGGCAGTGCTGTGCATAAGCCCGTGGTGGAGCAGGCAAAGCTGCAGAATGCCATGAAGAAAGCGATGCTATACGGTCTAGTGTACCCCAAAGGTGGAGCTTCTTAGAAAAGGGGTCTGGTGGTGATAGTGTCATGCTGGTTCTTCCCTGCAAGTGTATTTGTAGAAGGTACTGTGCCCCTTCTGTGCACCCTTCCACAATGTGAAGCAACAGATGGTAACAGCGTGTACAATACATGTTCCAACCTACATGAATAGATTAACACAACTACACTACCATACATTAGTCTTTGACATTGACCCTGCCAGGCAGCCCTCTAGATCCGAGAGAGTATAACACATAGCATGCCAGAAACCAACAGCAAGCATGCACACGTCCAGTGGCAGTATGCGCTGCACATAGACAGCAGAATCCAATCCAGCAATAAGCATCAACCAGGGCAGGACAGTTGCGGCGGATCTACAATCACCATGCACCAGTCTCAACATAACATACAGTCGGCAGAAGCACATAAAACATCCTCCCTGATCCAACCCAATGTCACAAGCATGCCATACACCCCTCTCACTGCCCATACATACTCCTCTAACTCTGTTCCCCTCTGCATAAGCTGCCAGCTTCCAAATGAGAAGAACATGGAAGAGCTCAGCCTTGGTAGCGGAGACCCATGCTCACATCCATGCAGCAGCAGCGGCCACCAGCAGTTGCGGTTACATCTGCGGCACCAGCTGGTGCCTACATCTGCAGCACCGGCTCTTCTCCTGAGAGCTCTGCCTGGGCGTCAGCTGCAAGCTTCTGTGTGAGGCGCGTGAGGTTGGACATGGCACGCACCGCCATGCGCAGCGCATTGTCCCTCTCCTGCAGCTGCTGCTGCATCCGTGCCTCCTCCCTCTCCTCCTCCTCCCTCTGCCTCCGCTCCTCCTGCTCCTTCTGCTGCCATTGCACCCGCTGCTGCTCCTCTTCATCCACCCCCTGTTGGGCGACTGTTCCTGATGCCCTCACAGCAGCGGCAGAAGCCAGAGCAGGATGAGAGTCGTGTTGTTGGCCGGCGGAAGAAGTGGAGGAGTCGGGTGGGGATGCGGGCAGCAGCAGCATGCGGTCGTCTGCGTCTGCCTTGAGCTGTGCACTCAGATCCGCCAGGCCCTGCAGGGCTGACATGGCCGTTTCGACCTCCACTTTTGCCACCTGGACACACCAAGGTGAGAGGAGCAAGGGGAACGGGAGGGGGGCATATGGGTAATAGTTGAGTACAAGGGCAGTGGGTGGGTAGCCACGTTAAGCTGCAAGGACAGCGCTAGAAAAAGGCCGCGGGAGGTGCCAGGAGGGGACCGAGGGCGGTCATACAGGGAGGCTGTAGCATGGTTGTAGTAGCATGACTGTAGCATGGATTTAGTAAGCTCACCTCGAGTTCCAGCTTCACCACTTCATGCGCCACCAGATCCGCCTGTGACACCTCCTCCGACACCTCGACCTGCCCTGCCTGGCGCGACGAGGCGGATTTGATCACGTCCCGCAGCTGTGCAATTTCTCTAGCTCCGCTGATGACCTCCGCGCGCATGCACGTCAGCGCCGCCTCCCGCTCCTCCCACCGCGCCGTCAGCTGCCGGATCTCCTCCTCGCGCTCGGCTAGCAGGAATTTCACGGAGTCCAGCTCGGTTTGCTTCTCCCCCAGCGCCGCCCTCGCTGCCCGGAGCTGCTCCAATAGGCGTTCGTTCTGCGCCCTCTGTTCTCGCTCTTGCTCCTGCTTGGGATGAGAGATGGATAAAAATACAAGGAAATGAGACAAAGCGGGACGAAAAGGCCAAGGAGGACGGGTAGAGGGGACTGCGATAGAGAGAGAGAGAGACAAAGAAAGACGGAGAGGCAAGCGCGAGGAAGTGAAGGGGGTGAGGAAACTCGGGGTGGGGAAATCTGGAGAAGAGAAAGCAGCAGGTCAGAGCGATTGGGAGAGAAAGCATCAGCACGGCCTACCTGCAGCAGCTGCATGCCATGCTCCTTCTCCAGCAGCGTACGGCTCGCCGCAAACAGCTCTCGGTTCGTCTCAGCCAACAGCACGCTCTCCCCCACCAGCATCTTCCCGCCTCTCAACCCTCCCGATCCCACACCACCGCTCTGCACCACTCTGCCAGACGGCAGCACACCCTTGTCGAACCCGCCGGAGGCGAGCGCGGAGTCCGCGAGTTTGCGCGAGAGCTCCGCGATCTGCTCCACCGCGGTTTCTGCCGCCGCCAGGCGCGCGTTGCTGTCTTCCAGCTTCACCTCCAGCGCCCCAATCGTCTGATCCCGCATCTCCAAAGCCTTATCCGACGCGGTTACTCTCTCCTCTTTAACCTGGAGCTCCAGCTTCACTGCGGCCAGCTCCCGGCGAAGCCCCTCCAACGCGTTGGCCGCCGCGTCGAGGTCCTCAGACCGGGATTTGAGGTCCTGCTTCGCTATAGAGAGATCCGATGCAGTTTCTTGTAGCTCCAGGCGGAGCCCTATTAGTTCTGCTTCTTTAAGCTGGAGGGAGATTTTGGCGTCTGAGAGTTCTGACTCCGCCTGCCGAACGTTCTTGCGGAGATCGGAAGCTTCAGACATGGCTGTGCGAAGCTTCGACCGTGCGTCCCGAACCTCCGTCGCGAGCGTCTCGCAGGACTCCATCTCGTGCTTTAACTTAGTCTCGAGATCCAGAACCGAGGCGCGGACTTCTTGCAACGTCTCCTTCTCCTTTGCAAGTTCCGCATTCGCTCGTTCCAGCTCCCGTTCCCGCTTTTTCAGAAGCATCGCCGCGTTCGTCGCCTCGCGTTCCCGTCTCGCGACGGATGCCTTAAGCTCCTGAACCTCCGATCGGAATTTGCTCAGAGCTTCGTTGGACACCTTTAATTCCGCCTTCACCGCACCGATCATTGACTTAGCTTGAGCAAGCTCGCGGGACGCAGCCTCTCCTTTTACTCCCGAGTTCTTCAGGTGCTTCTGAAGAATCCTAATCTCCTTCTGCGCAGCTGTCACAATGCCGCTTCTTTTCTCCAAATCGGATTCCATAGAGGTCAGTTTACCCTCCTGCCGTCGCAGCTCCTTCTGCGATTCCTCCAGCTCCTCCTCCAGCCGTTTCTTCTCTGCAACCGCAGATCTCAGATCCAACCGCAATTGCCGAACCTCCGCTGTCGCAGCCACCAGCTGGCTCTCCTGAGCCTGAAGCTCAGCTTCGGCAAGTCTCAACTTCTCATTCCTCGCTCGAATCGCCGCATGAGCACGAGTAATCTCCTCTTCCTTCTTACCCAACCCCTCTTTGGCCTCGCGAATCTCCTTATTCCTCAACTCGACTTCCTTGCGAGCCGCGACCAGCTCATCCGCCTGCTCCGCCAACTTCGCACGGATCTTCTCCGCGTCTTCCCGTAAAGACAACTGAGCTGTGTGATTCTCAGCAAGACGAGCCTCACGCTCCTGGATCAGTTCGCGCGCCGCTTCGAGATTATCCCGGTCGAACAGTAGCCGTTGCTCCGCCTCTGCAAGCTCCTCTTCTTTCTCCCGCATGGCTTCGAAGACCGTGGACAGGTCCATTTCGAGCTGAGCAATCGCGTCTTCAAGAAACCTCGTAGAATCAACCTGCGTCTTGTGATCTTGGCGGTAGTTCTGCGAGAATAGACGTTCCAATGCGGCGCGAGCGATGTCCAAGGAATCTTGGCCGGTGCCTCTTCGGCTGAAGCGGCTTCCGCTCCCATTGCCGCTGGTGCTGCCGCTGCTGCTCCCACCGCTGGTGTTGCTCGAAGGTTTGTCCAGAACCGCGCGAATTGAAGGACCAACGCGGAACGATAGGGAAGTCGAGCCGCGGTGTGTTGAAGGACGGAGCTTTAGGTGAGACAAGAAGGACGTGGAAGCCATGCTGTCGCGACTGGCACCGCGAAGGCTACCCACGGCGACAGGCCTAGACATGATGTCGTTCGTCAAAACCAAAGCCGTGGTGGAGGTACGCGCTTTCTAGGAAGAGCTCAGTGTGGTAGACTTGATTTCAACCGCGAGTGCTAGTCTGGAAAGCCTTGTCCTGCTCTAGGCGCTGGTGGAGATAACCTCTGAAGCATTCAAGCCTTGCTTTCTGAGAACTACTAAGCTGTGCTGACATAATAAAAGCGGAGCCTGATTCAAAGAAATACTGTACCAGACAGGGCACAGGGATTAGCACGGATGTGTAGATCCTGAGGGCTGAGGATGAACGGCTCAGATGGTGACTAGCAGGACCATCAAGGGCCAATGGCTCGGAAGGGAAGGGCATCGGGGTTGGAGTGTGGTGAGGCGGAGGGGGCGGAATGGTTTACATGGGGACGATGCGGAGTGCAACCCGCGGAGGGGAGCGGAAAAGGAAGCGGTGAAGGGGTTAGAGCGGGGGGTCCAGCCAGACGCGGGGGATTTCCGACGAAGATCTTCGGGAAAAGAGGAGGGGCGAGGGCAACACACCCCCGCGAGGCGAAGCCTCACGAAGATCTCATTGGACGGTGGAGACTGCGTTGCAGGTCATACGACCAAACCGGGGCAGGGCAGACAAATATTTGCCATGCCGAAACCACCCAATCTGCCATGGCCAAACCACCCAAACAGCCTGCCAATTTTTTCTGGTTGGCATGTGTGGCCACAGTTGAATCGACTGCCACTTCTCCCTCGATATAATAACACGTACCATGCCAGCGCATAGATTTTCCGCGCTATTGGTGCATTTGTAATTATAAGCTCGTGCTACCAAGGATCTTCCGCCAAATCTGCATGAGCTGCCCATCTCATAACTGTCCAAGATCGAAGTTTTGGAAACGGGCCGCGCGTGACGAAATGGCGGTCTGCACAAGAGTGGCGGAAAGCAAGCCGCGACCAAGCGAACTAATCAGGGAGTACATTCTCCAAAGAAGCTGGGACCAACGAAAAAGTTTTGGTATCAAGCAAACATCTGGGACGGTTGTGCTCACGTGTCTCCGAGATCTCCACAGTGAATTCTTCTGATATTTCAGGGTCTGGAACACAGAATTTGATGCAATAAACTGATACACCTCAACAGCGTGAGCATTTGTTTCCATAGAACTAACATACTCTGGTGAATATGTCCTGGTTATGTAGCATTCCCTATGAACAAAATAAACTCGCCATGAGAATGGGTGGTGTAAATCCTTTCCCGATATCTGACCACTTATTGAATGAATTCCGTGAGGGACATTGAAACGAGGACAGGGTGGTACTTGCACAGGTGGGCAAATTTGGGCCCTGCTATAAACAGATTGCTTGCTATATTTTCCAAGCTCACAACATATACACAAAAGTATATGGAACAATTCATGTAGAGTACATAATCAAGCAGAGGTTCGCACGAAATCCCCAGACGGGACCATCGTCACAAGTCCATGAAGATGCCCCTGGCAAGCATCTTGGGCTGTGCGCTGCCCTTGCTCAAGGCACAAGTTATTCCCAAGAACTGCCGCTGCAGACTGCCCAAGCGGTTGTGCTAAAAAATTGTCTCCTTGCATTCCATGTAACGGGAATTCCCGAGAGTGATGTTGTTGCGGGCCTTGTGCGTCGACATTGGGCTTGCTCTCTTGGGTATTGTTGACGGCATTTTCAAGGGGACGAGCAACAGCTCTCCGAACAATTCTCCCGCCAAAAACATTCAGCAGCACCCATGGATGAGATAAGACCTTCGCAGCGGTTGGCCGTCGCCGAGGATCTCGATGGAGCATGCAGCGAATCAGCCCTTTCGCCTCAATTGAAATCGTCGCCCATCCCGGCGAAGAGAAATCCAGCTGTCCATTCAGGACGGCCTCCGTTGACTCGCTATTGTCATCCCCGAAAAAAGGAACGGCACCGCTTAACATTGTGAAAAGGAGAACCCCAAGCGACCACACATCTGCAGAATGCCCGTACTCCCCCGAGAGCACCTCAGGCGCCATGTAAAACGTCGAACCGGAAATTCCTCGAGTAGTCTCGCCTGCTGAAAGGGGAATCGCAAGTCCAAAATCGGCAAGCTTCACGGTTAGCCGATTAGAAGCGTCTTCTTGCTTATGGAGCAGAATATTCTCTGGTTTCATGTCGCGATGCATTACACCCCTTGCGTGGCAAAACGCGAGAGCTGAGGCGATTTGTCGGAACAGAAGAGCCGATTCCTTTTCGGGTAGCCGTCCCCGTCGCACAACTTCATCGTACAAATCGCCAGAGTCGCACAAATCCATGACGAGGTGAATACCCGCATCGTCCTCGAAAACTTCATGGAGCTGAACTATCGCCGGATGTGTCGCTGCTCTGGTTGCTGTAGCACCGGGCGACGATTGCGCCACGCGCATCGGCGGGTCTTCCGTTTGTGGCGCGGTCGCCGTTTTACTATCATCGCAACCGGCACTAGCGTTGCCCGCTGAAGCTGCGTTGGGCCCCAACGAAGATGGATGCAGATTTAACCGATGCTGCATAAGAAGCACCTCCATCTTCACCTCTTCTCTCACGAACTGGTCGAGAAGGCGAGACTTGGGAATCGTCTTGCACGCAAAAGCTTGACCCGTTTCCCTGCAGACGCACCGTCGAACCGTGCCAAATTGACCGGCGCCTAGAATGTTGGAATCCAAATCAAATGATTCTTCGAGCCGCCTTTGAAGTCCCTGGAAAACTGGAGGCACATCAAGATTAGAGCTTATTGATAAGGGCGTTTCTGCAGTAACGGTGTTCGGACGAACTTGGGTCGATTCCGTCCATTCAGGGAGAAGAGAGTTTGTGGCCGGGTTCACACATTGCGTGTAGGAGTGTCGTAGCCGCTTGGACGCATTGCCGGAAGTCGACAAGGAGGGCTCTAGCACTTCACATGTTCGCCGAGTCCCACCAGAAGCAGCATTACTGTTAGTATCAGATGCTTGGATGTACGCTGCAGCACTGGTTGTCTCCATTATTGAGAACAATCGAAGAGAACAATTCAGCGTCAACTTTGTTAATGCTGCGTTCGATATTCTAAAAGGGTTTGGAAGTTACGAGTTTACAGCCGCGGCGCGGCGAAATGTGTCACGACGAAGAGCAGCAGAAAAGCCTGCAAGAGGATGGAAGGCCAAATTAGAACTGAAGAAAAGGGTTTGAAATGGCGCTAAACTTCCGCAATGTGCCAATGCTTATGAATCGCCAGATTTACACAAGAGAGCCAGTGGAGGACGACCACTGCTCCACCTAACCGACTTGAAGACTAGGGCTTAAAAATGGCGACTAGTGATGGTGGAACGTGAGGCATGCGTCATCAAGAGAGAGGGGGCATTTGTGTGTTCGAGTGAGGGCGTTTCGCTTGGAAGGGGAGGCTGCGGAAGAGACTCATTCATGCGACAAGATGAGATGAGATGTGGCATTTCGCGTCGCTGTCGTAGGCGTGGGCCTATCAGAGGCCACCACGGCACATGGAGGGGCGGTTCGTGGAAGCATGTTGTGGAAGGCTGGGGTTGGGTTTGCATGTAGTCTTCTTGTACGTGTCACTGCTGAAGCTGGGCATTTTAAAATTTTGGAAGGAAACGCCTTTTTTGTACACGGTGAGATGGTGTATTGGCTGTGGCAGTCACGAAGTCGAAGTGGTGATACAGTGGTCCGCGACCAGGGCCAAAAATATGCAGAAACTTGTGCTAAAATCTCCGTGTCAAGTTTGGTTGCGCCAAGAGGTCTTCCGTCGCTGCTGCACCCCAGCACTTCTCCCTTTTCCCGTGGCCTCTCCGCCCCAGAACAGGAGCTCGAAGTCTCCAGCGTGTAAATAGCCATCCAAGAGTGTATGACAGGTCAGAATGCTCTCCACGCGTTTTAAATTGCGAATGAGCAGACTCCACCTGTACTTTCGGCGCAAGCAGCGGGCTATCACACGATGGGTCCAGCTAGACATCGCTTTCGCAATCCAAATAGGTCGCAGCAACATGGGGTTGCAAAATGACCCTAGCGATCGCAGCGGATTGCACGACGACAAAGCAGGTCCCCACCCCAAGCAAGGCAATGAACTGTGAGCCACACAAGCCAAGCCAGGCTTTATCTTCTTTGACCCCGACTTTACGTTATCCTTGGATGGTCTGTCAAATTTTGTGGGTATTAGAAAGGCCTCTGAAGCTTCGACGGGTGTCAAACGAGTCCACGTAGGCGGGTTTCCCTTGAGGCCGGGACACTCGTGGTGATGCAAGTGAGAGGATCTTACGACAGCACGGCAGACATTACTGTCAGAGGTCCACTGGGGATCCCCGATGATCCTAGGGAAGGGTTACAGGCACGTCGGCCTGGGGGGTTATGGGCGCACTCACCCGCTATATAAACAAGCCCTTTTATCCCAGTGGTTAGTGACTGGGATTCTGACATGGTATCAGAGCGAAGGTCTCGGGTTCGATTCCCGGTGTGTGCACTTCGGGCATCCCAGTGCGGGGGGGTGTCAGAGGTCCACTGGGGATCCCCGATGATCCTAGGGAAGGGTTACAGGCACGTCGGCCTGGGGGGTTATGGGCGCACTCACCCGCTATATAAACAAGCCCTTTTATCCCAGTGGTTAGTGACTGGGATTCTGACAATTACAGCGAATAAATGACGCTTTCCATCTGTTCTTTGAAAAGATCTGATGATTCCACGTGGTTGATGACAAAGTGCACAGCGATTTTGACACTTTTTGGTCGGTGCGCTCACTCTAGGCGGAGAAGCTGGCAGCTTCAAAAGCATTTGACCACAAGCATGTGGAAGTAAAACTATTGAAACTTGAATCCGAACTACACTACTACTGAACCATGCTGCAGAATGCAGCATGATGAAAATGGATCTACCTGCAGGTGCTTTCACTCTAGAGCTTCAATACAACAATTTCAGGCATACAGTACACGTTACGAGACATTGATTTTGATGCTACTCTTACGATGAAATAGCATCAATGGCAGCGCCAAGTGGCCAAGCTGCCTCAACATCCTTACCCTTGTAAGTGACCTGCTTCACCAACGTAAGTTCTGCTCCATCATCAATCTCTGAAAAACACAGTAGGGGATAAACAGAGCCACAATCAATATCATATGCTTGCCACTGACACCACATTCCATGCAAAAGCTGAGGAATGAAACAGCTACTGACAACATAAAATAATGATACAAAATATATGTAATGCTTACTGAAGCCATGGGTGAGCAGCTTGTGCTGGTACACCACGTCCAGGCACATGTAGGGCGCGTCCTTGCCATCCACCGCAGGAAACTTCTTCGTGACTTCCTCCAAGGGTGTGGCACAGGCAGCCTCAGCTGCTGCTGCAAAGTCCTTCGCCTTGACTGGAGCTGATGACGCCTTGGGGTCAGGAATAACACCAAGCTGCAGGGGGGCAAGTGGGAGAACGCAGGGGGGGAGTGGAAGGACGCAGGGGACAGAGGGAGAACGCAGGGGAGGAGTGGGAGAAGGTAAGGAGTGGGAGAATGCAGCAGGGAGTGGGAAAACGCAGGAGAGGAGTTGGAAAACGCAGGGGAGGAGTAGGAGAACGCAGGGGAGGAGTGGGAGAAAGCAGGGTTTCGGGTTATCATGGTGGGAGTGGGAGAAAACAGGGTAGGAATGGGACAACGAAGGGTTCTGGGAGAAGGAACACTCAGGAAATGTAGGAAAGGCGGAAAACAGTGGATTGAGCCCACAACTGCTAAGTGCATCCCTCTTGCAGGGCAGCGTCACCTGCAGCAATTTACCTGGCCCGCCCGGTCAAAAGATCACAAAGCAATGAGGACCTTGGAGGCACCCTCATCCCGACACTCACTTCCACACCCCTCCGAACGATGCACTCCTCAAAGGAGCACAACTGAGCTGCATCAACAGCAGCACCTTACCTGGCCAGCGCGGTCAAAGAAGTAGGAAGCAATGAAGAGCTTGGACGCGCCCTGACCCCGACCACCACTCCACACCCCTCCGAACGTGCACTCCTCAAAGGAGCATGCCGGGGCAGCGTCACCAGAAGCAGCCCCTCCCAGTTCCAACGCCTTTGCTGCGATCAGCGCACACTCCGCTGCACTGCCTCCTGTTGGCAGCGCCTGTGCCTTGACTTCCTCTGTGCCATAGACGTATTTGTCTGGTGGGAGGGATTGGAGGAAGCGGAGGAGGGGGGTTTGTGGAAGTGTTGTAAGAAACAACAGAGACCATGAACACTTATGAGCACTCACTTCCATTTGCTTTTGTTCAAATTGTGTGTGCAAGGGTAACATTATGAAATGGGGTTTGCAAGTCACGGGACAGTGTGTAGACAGCACTGTGGGGGGCTTGTTGGCCCGTGCATGCGCAACCGGAGCATGCAATTGCACCAAAGGGACTCCCTTGCCTTGCAACCTCTCCTTTGTGATTGCCCTCCTTTGTGTCACTCGCATCCCCTTGTGTTTGCGTTAGACATATTCTGCTATATATCTCCTTCTGTGTCTCACCACTCAGCGCCCGCCCTGCGACGTACATGCATGCCATTGCCATCCACTCACCATGGCACCTCCTTTCATCATGGGCACTTACACTATGAATCGTTGCCCTTCAGCTGTCTAGCGCCTACTGTCCCACCACTGCCATAGCCGACCTTTGTTAGGGGCACAAACCCCTCGCCATCCAAGCTTGTATGCATCCCACACTCCTCTTACTGCATCACCCCTCATTGCCACTGCTGTCACTGCCCTTAAGCAGGCATGTCCCTCACACGCTCCCAGCTGCTTCTTCACCACAGTTGGCTCTCTGTAACCGTTCCACCTCTAACAATCCGTGCTTTTCTCACACCAGACAAATAGCTTGTTGATAGTTTTGGGGAAAAAAAAGGGTACTCGCTGCACTCGCTTGCGTTTTCACTCCACCAACTCTCTGTTCCCGTCACTCACCATCAGTGCCCTTCGAAAGGCATGCATGCCCCTCTCACACACTCCCGCTTGCGACTTAACCAAATTCGCTCTCTGTCTCTACTCCACCCCTCACCACTCACCGTCAGTGCCCTTGGGCAGACACGCATGCCCCTCGCTCCCGGGTGGTTTAGCCTTGAGCACTTGAGCTCGCGCTGCCATCAAACCGAAGCCCAGGTAGCTGGGGGCTCGTTGAGGGATGGGAGGGGAGAAGGGTGGGTGGGGGGGGATGTGCACACAGCACATGCAAAAACAGAGCACGGAAGACAAAGGGAGAAAGGTAAGTTCTTCGCCTTTAGCACCTGGGCGCGCGCTGCACATGTTACAATAAAGGCTAAGTGTTTACTGAAAATTGTACTACTGAGCTACACAGTGCTGTTGCCCATAAATTCCCATAGCGAAACCTACATGTACTTAACCACACCAACCCAGCCCAGCAAGGTAAAACACGTTGTGCGGCGTAGAATCAACCAGCCAGCCATCACATGTTCCCTTACACCTCTGTTGCCCAACTTTTTAGGAGCCACTCTTTGGATCCTTCAAAAGGCCATATTTAACATCTTCCTTTTGCACGTTGACCATTCCAGAAGAGCCACGTTGCCCTCACCGGTGCACATTGACCACGCAAGTCTAACCCATCCTCGAAAACCTCCTTCATTTCTTGACCATCCTCAATTACACTCTTTGAATCTTTGCCATCCTCAATAACCCTCTCCGTGACTTGCTCATCCACAAAAACCCTCTCCGTTCTCACCTGTGCACGTAAACCCCGTACGTCTTGCCCATCCCGCTCAGCCTCCTAACGTAGCCCTCGGGCGCCTTCGCTGCCACGTCATCAGGCACCGCGTACGTCATCTGCACGGACCCGCCGCCCAGATCCACCACCCCCACCGTCTGGCTGATGTCCTTGCCGAGATTGCCGAGGAGGTAATTCACCGTCACCTGTAGGCGGGAAGGATATGAATGAGAGGATAAAAAGATAGTGAAAATCGGACTTTAGATGTCCAGATCCACCACCTCCACCGTGTGGCCGATGTCATTGCCGAAATTGCTTTCAAAAGAACGATCGTATTTTTTAACTCACCCACGCGAAGGAGCCTTCGTCGGCGCCATCGAGGATCTTGACGGAATCGGCAGCGAAGGTGAAGGGGTACTCCTTGAGCATCTCCCGGACCTGAGGAGAGCGAGAGTGAGCGACAGCGAGAGGGCGAATCAGACGCGTGAAAACAAAATCTTTACGACTACAAAACAATTGGCTGGAGTTGTTAGGGATCGCGGACGGGACGGACAAGAGAATAAAAGCAAGGTATGAGGGAGATGAACGAGAACCAATGACGAGCCGCAAAACAATAAGCTTACGGCTTCGAGAATGTTGTCAGCGAGGTCGCCAGGGAGAAGGCGCAGACCAGCCGTTGCCTGCACAATGGGGAAACGGAATGCAAATGAGTCGCTCTCAGCAAGCCAATATGACAGGACGGCCGAGGATCTCAGATCGAAGCTCGAGCAGAGCGGATCACGATATCAAAAGGAAGTACAGGAGATTCGGAGCTCGCTTTGTCACGCAAACACTGTGAGGTGTACCGCATTTCCAATAACGAGACTCACTCCGACGCGAATGGGCGTGGTGGAGCGGACTTCCTCGGGGACGACGGTGAGCGCCTTGTCGATGAGCGGGCGGAGCGAGTCCGCCGCTCCCTTGGCGTTTTCGCGAAACGAGCTCAGACCTGGCTTGAGCTGCAACGCAGGTGATGACGACAGACAACAGGATCATCAAAATGTCAGGGGAGACCTAACAGGAAACTAGACGCGATGCCTTAAGTGCGAATGATGCATCCTGAGGACAGGAATCAGAATCGAAGGCGAGATTATATTATGCTGGTCAAGATCGGGAGATCACGTCCTTGAAGGACGAGATTTGGTTGACAACCAATAAATTAGCAGCCATCTGAAACGGCAGTGAACGGAAACGCGGACGCATGTCTGGCAACCGAAACTGCAAATGCCAAACGTTCTTGGAAGTCAATTTTCTCTCTCTCGAGGGACGGAGACGTACCGCAACAAACAACTCCAAGTCGTTGCCGATCTCCATCAGCTCGAGTTTGGGGTTGAACTGGTAAACGTGGATCCGGCTACCAGTGCTTCCGGCGTCGATAATGACGGCATACTTGTTCTCTCCTCCAGATTGCATTTTCGCCACCGCCTTGTTGACTTCATCTGCCGCGCTGTGATGGATGACGCGGTCATCCGTGATTGGCTCGCCGTGAGGCATAAATAGAATAATGAAGATAATGAGGAAGATGGGGACGGAAACGACGACAATGACCCCCCGATAGTGGAACAGCTTCTCCCAGGTGGACTCATGTCGTCGCCTCATGGCTGCTTATTGTCTGTGTACTGAGATTGACGACGAGTACTACAAGAGAACTAACAAAACGCCGTTGGGTGGTCAGCTGTGCTGACGTCCTGGCCTGGCTGAGAGCTCCTGATTCCAGCGTGCGCTTTCCTTGATAAAAATCAAAACAAATGACGGAAAGCTCACCCGTCAGACTTGACACCAAAGAGGTTACCACCACAATATACCTAGCAAGCAATGCTAACCTAGGCCAGTCTGCTAGCCTGCCAGACTTCCCTGGAGTGAGCGACGAGCTTGGTAACTAGTTAACTAACCCTCATCTTCTCTGCTGGAATACCCTTTCAAGGTCTGGTCTGGTAGTGAAGCCAAGCCAAGATGGTGCTTGGGAACGCCCACCAACTACTTGCTGAGAGAACTCATAAAACCGTTGTCCATATCTCTTCACCGTACCAAACTCCTTTGACCGCCACTTTTCTCTCTCCAGCTGCTGGCATTGGAACTTTGTTGGATGATGGGTTCGGATGGACGGTAGTTTTGAGGCGTCAATCCAACCGTCCATCTTCCTTCACCCCTTCCTCCCAGGCATTCGGAGATCTCGAGGGTTCGTTCGTTACCTGGGCTGCCGCACTTGTTCACCAAACCGTCAGGCCGCAGGTCTGGTTCTACAGTATCGTCGAACTCGCTGCACACTGTATCTCCCCGAGATGCCGTGACTCTCGAGGGAGACGGTTCAGAGGTGATGCCCGACGTCAGGGCATAAGTTCACCTCCAATAACAAGCAAGCATAGAGTAATTATGCTAGTTTGGAGTTGCCAGCCATCTGTATTCCTGCCAATTGTCTCTGCTATTGGTGCAGCCAGTCAGCAATGAACATTTTCCAACTTAGATTCTCATTATAAGGTGAAGCAAAGCAGAAACATTTGCCTCTACCGTCATACCCCGGATAGAAGCGCCCCTGGGGTTGTAATAAAACACTGTTTTTTAGGGGGTGCGCTTATAATTGAGGAAATTTATAAGCGCCGGGGCTTATATAATGACATATATGAAATCTGTTTTTTTTACACCAAAGTGTTCATCTCGTTCTTACGATTTGAATCGAATCGATATTGTAGAGGGCAATGAATGTGAATTTCGCGTGAATTGGCAGTGGTTGATTCCATGCCAACACACACAGTCAGAATGAGTCAGATTGACCCCATGACAGCTCATTCTGACTGGACACGAAGGTATCGAGTCGCGCGAGGGTGAAGGGATTCGAAATTCTGAATGTGGGAATGGAAAAATCGTGTTTCGTTACAGCGTTTCTAGTAAAAATATAAGAAAATATTACAAAGGGTGGCGCTTATAATCCGTAAGCCTTCAGGGGTGCGCTTATAATCGAGGACCGGATATAAGCGCCCTCATCCTTTTATAAGCGCCGGCGCTTATCATAGGCCTGCGCTTCTATCCGGGGTATGACGGTACATTCTAGAAAGCCTCTACACGACTCTGTGCACGAGGTGTGCAAGGCGATGTGCAGTCAATGTATCCCACCACGTGCAAGCAGTCCACACAAAAGCCTGACACACCGAACACTAAATAGCTTGACTTATTTCCTGCCTTTCAGCTGGATGCTACTTGAACCCGCAATCCTTCTGTTGTCCGGTTGGTGCTGCCCAGCCTTGTTACTGGACACGGGGAATTCCTCACACAGTGTGTCGTCAGGCCCCGGCAGGAGAACCAAGCCCCCAGGTTCAACCCGCACACATGCGTGGCGGGCAGAAGCAAGTGATCCGCTCCCATCCTAGTACAGAAAGAAAGAATTGCCTGAGCTGTTCCTTCCCAGGTATGCGGAAGCGGTTGTGCTAGCCGTACTGCTGGGAGAGCTGCTTGTTGATGGGGCGGTTGGGAGTGTGGGTCCCAGGTGCCAAGTTCAGGAGCAGCTGATCCTTGGATGTCATCCAGGTCAATAGCCTCGAAGCGCACCTGCAAGGATGGACAGGGAAGGCGTCAGATCCTCATGATCACAAAATTTGCAGACTAAGGCATTTTCTGAATCTACTTCAGAAAAGTTGATCCCCTACCCCTTGCCAGCACTTCGTCTCACTCATCGTCCCATTTGGGTAAAACTACAATGCTACACCCAAGGTACACCTTCCACACCCCACACATACATACCCTGTAAGACCGAGCCATGGCGGCCATCTTCAGCGCTGCCGCTTTCGTCCGCCCGTGAAATCGAGCGAGCTTCGCAGTCACCTCTTTAGCAGGCGTTGATGGGACCACAACCACGGTTTCCACGTCAGCCTTGCTGTCAGTTGAAGTGGGGAGCTGTTGACTCTGTGCCGCCGAGGAATGATCTGTAACGGAGACGTTAAAGGAGAGGATGTCAGTGGGAGGACCCCATGCATGACTAACCACAATGACCTAAAGATGCCCACAAGACGGCAAGGAAAGAACGTACTGATATCAGGGGGCAGGTGAACTGCCCTCCACCATTGCGGTTCCTTTTGAGAAATCTCCTTTTTTAGACAATTTAGAGAATTCTCGAAGAAGCCGAAAGCACAAACCAACGTCGGAGAGGGGGGAGGGGGAGGAAAGGGCTGAACTAGCATCAATCATTGGGGTTCTTTTTGAGAATGTTGAACTTAAACTAACTTTCAGGGATTTCCGAAGGCGAAGAACGTACCGACAACAGGGGGGGGTGAATTGCCGTCCGCCATTGCGGTTCCTGCTGCTGCTCCTGCTCCCGCCTCTGAACGCGACCTGGGCCAGTGGTTCGGCGCATGCAGATTCTGCACCTGCTGCTGCTGCCGTTGCTGTTGCTGTTGCTGCTGGCTACCGGATAAAGAGCGTGGCCACTGGCCCAGTGCCTTCTGGTGCTGCTGCTGCTGCTGGCTTGCCGTGCCTGACCGCGCGCGGGGACTTGCGAGGAATGAGAACATCGCCGCCGCCCCTTTTTGCGGGGAGGCTTGGTGCGGGGACGGCTGTGCGGTCGAGGGGAGGTGGGGGGAAGTGAGCGGCGGGAGCGTCGACAACAGCTGCTGGTGCTGCGCGGCGACGTCGCTCCGCGAGCGGCGGAGCAGCAGCGGAGAGGGAAGGTGATGCCCGCGGTGAAAGACGACAATTAGGCGGTCCGCGGGGGATAGGCGGAACTCTCCCCGCGCGGCGGGGTTCTCGTGCGTAACGAGGAAGGATGTGGACTTGTAGCCTGTTGCGAGGAGGTCTTCAAACGCGGATATGCAACCTTTGCACGTGTCGACGGCGAGGACGACGGTGCGACCGTCACCCACGCCGTAAAGGCGGTCGACGCGCTTGGACAGAGGCATTGCGACGATGTGAGAGATGTAGAGAGGCTTAGAGTGATGATGGGTTCAAAGCGGTGAAGAGCGAGCGTGGGCGTGTGTGAATGTGGTTGAGGGGGCTTAGAAGTAACACTCGGCTACGAGATAAACAACATTACCGTGCACGGAGAGTGGCTGTGCTTTATCGTTTTAGCATTTCTTCAAAAAGGGAGCTGCATTGACTTACTTAGAGCCTATTCCCGTACGCCAACTATCATGTAGAGTATGTAAAGGAGAAGGTCGGTCTTAGTGATCAACCGTGACAGCTAAAAAGCGGAGTTTGTGCTTCGTGTAGCGGATGGTTCTGAGGTAATTTTAACCGTAAGCTAATAAGTAGCTACAGCCATACGGCGAGGCTGTGCGAAGCGCAGTGTGTCGTGCAGTTTTAGCAGTTACATGAACTGTGAATTCACGAATGGCGATGGATGAGTTGGCAGACCGACGTCAGCGGGCAGAACAGAAGACTCGCCGAAGGACGAGATCCCACAGTTAGAATGGCCTACGGAAGTATCGTACGTATGCCCAAGAACCAGTCAACAGCTGGAAGAGACAACCGCAGAATCTAACGGGGTTGATATGTTGAAATTGAAACTGAATGAATGCAAAAACTATGAGGCTATGGCTGGACTGGGTGTTCAGCGCGATGCACTTCATGTAGGGACGACGGCGTCACGGCGTCTTTGTTGCCCCAGAAGCGTAGACTCTCTCCACCACAGATGAGGGACAGGAATGGTTCGCCTGCTGGGTGCAAGTGCATGCCTGCAGCAGAACAATGCTTTCGTTTCGTGAGTGCGCGGAATAGAAAGTTGCCCAGCGTGCAGCCATTCTGGTTATAGCCGTTACTCGACGACAGCATGCTGGCTTGCTGTGAGGTGTATGCCTGCTCCATGGACAAGTGTTGCTTTGGCGGTTTCTTCTGGCTTTGTCCTGCGTCTGTTCTGTTCGCATGCGAGCAAAGATGAAGAACGCAGTCATCCGAGTGTGTGGTGTGTGGAGTGGGAAGGAGGATGGAGAGAGGGACACACCCTTGGGAATGCCGAACACTCAACAAAAGAAACGATCTGGAAAAATGTCAGGGTTTCAACATATTTTAGAAGTATGCAGAGCGGTTGAGTGTTTTTCCGGACACTGAGGAGAGAGATGATATGCTGGTTGACCATCTGTGCACTAGTTCCCCCCACTCCCCTCCACTTTCCCGCTGGAGGAACTGATCAGAACGGGGAATGGGATTCGAGGGTTAGGTTGAGAAGTGAAGAGACTAGAGCTGAGGTTGGGCGGGACATCTCGTGTGGCAGCTGTTGAAGGGCATCGCAATCAACCAATCGAATGCGTGCGACGCGACAGCTGTTTCTGTCGCCACCACCACGTGTTCCGAGCCTATGGTGAGCTGGAAGGCAGCATCAGGAAACATTGTAACCGAACCACCAAATCTGGGACTTCTGGTTTTGTTTTTGTCCCTTTCTCAAAAATGGCCCGGGTACCTCCAAACCAGAACTATTTCAGGTTCGGGGTTGACCAATGTGCCCAGCCACGCATAACCCGTGGACGCTGAAAGGTTCGTGGGGGCCAGGTTGGTACATTGGTAATACGTTCTCGGTTCGGGAGTGCTCAAGCAGCATTCCCGTGAGTGTAAATCGCGAAGCATGTTACAGTCGGTAAATATTGTCGCATGTCGCATTCAGCGGAAGATGCGGCCCGGAACTCGCTTTCGCGATTCGAGATTCAGCTTGCATGTTGGCCCACGACCTAATGCCGTCTTATCATTCCACGTTGCGCTTGCTCCGGTAGAACACCAGAGCCGAAGCGCTAGACACCTGTGACCCTTACGTTATCACGAAATTGCCACCGTGGACCTTGTGGAATTCAGACCCCTAAAAGCCAAATATCGATTACGTATTTATCAGCTTGGACTCCTGCGACCTTCTGGTGCGGTTCCTGATTGCTTACGGATCATGTCCATAGTCGAATAATTGGGATCGCAGCTACGTTTGGGTAATTGCAAGGCTTGAGTTTGATCGCGATTCCCATGCAGCTGCTGATAAAGAACTCCCTCGATGGCAGCTTTTACGTCCTAGAAGTTTTATCCCCTCAAACAACTGTCGAATCCGTCATGTCCACGATTCAAAAATCCACGGGCATACCTTGCTCCCAGCAGATGCTGCTTCACGAGGGCCGTTGGATGAAACCGTTCAGCAGCCTAAACCATTATCTCTGTGGGAATCAGGCGGCATAAATGAAGCATGCGCACAAGCTCCTGTCAGATTACGATGTTGGGCCTGGTGCTGTTCTTACGTTGGCTCCGTCCGACATGCCGAATTGGGGGGCAAGGCTGAAGGATGCTGGCTGACTGGAATGGTGCTGGCTGCGGGCTATGGTGGGAAGAGCATAGCAGCATTACTGTGTAGATATGACACTTACCTCAGGAGCTAGGTGTACCCTGTTGTCTACATTAGTTTGTGATTGAGTGTGTGTTAGGTGAATGAAATTGTTCAGGCACATGATAAATTGCAGCAGAACCCATGCTGACATGATTAGCACCGTGTGAGGTTACAGCATGCAAAACAAAAGGAAGAACCATATCAAGCTCCTCCTTTTGCATTCACAAGGCCAGCGAGCTGGAGACGGACAAGCTAATAACCTAGACGGAGATTCGCTCTCTCCTGTGCGCAGCTGGCTTGTGAATGCAAAAGGAAAAGCTGCAAGAAAACCTGCGTGTGTTGCCAGCAGACGTACCGTTTGCAGTGGTACTCTCTGTGGCCTTGATTGGCTTCAGAATTGAGACTAGAAAGCCCTCTTATTTGATGACGCCAGCCCAGTTAACGAAACCACGCGCCACAAAAGCTCCTCCTTCCTACTCTCAAACACCACTGCCCTTTCCACAATCATCCCTCACCAGATACTCAACGGCGCTGCCATAACAAATTCTCTCGATTCACCTCAACAGTGTCCAGATGAGCTGCTTGAACCCCTTATCCTGCAGCAGCATCCTGACAAACAGATCCACCAGCTGCCATGTCACCGACCCTCCTCTGCCGCCAGCCGCGGCTGAAATCCACCAGCAGCGGCCTGTACAGCGGCTCGTCTTTATCGCTTTCAACTCTCGGCTCCTCGAACGCATCCGCACTGCTGAACGGAGGAGCGCTGTTCTCCTTCCCGACGGACGCTACTTTAGACTCCAGCCCCCATTCGATGCTAAAGCAGCCAGTGAAAGAGCCGTCAGCTCCGCAACAGTATCCAGTTGACCCTTGAATAGCCCCAAAGTCGCATCCGCTATAGCATTCAGTTGCCTCTTCTCTCACATGTGCCGGAGATTTCATGCACATCGACTCCTTTTCTGCAGCTAAACCCTGCTTCTAGCCGCCACTGCCACTGCTGTCTGACGAGGACTCTCCTGAGTGTGCCTTCCTGGAAGAAGGTTCACAGGTTGCGGCCATGATGCTTTGCTGGTAGCGTGTCGAAACGCCTTGAGTCGATCGAAACGGAGAATGGTGGCTTCTGTTTTTCTAGCAAGAGGGGCGAACAGCTCGTGGCTGCCTTCCGCTATAGTCACGCCTTGAAAAATGGACGAACCGCGAGGAGACGGACGACTTGAAAGTCTCAAGGTTGAATGGAATCCGGTTAGGGCTGCTTTAGCCTCCGTGTTTTGAGATGCGGTTTCCTGTACCAAAGCTGATGGCGAAATCTCCACTGCTATAATGAATTTGCTGCCCAGGGAGGAGAGGTTACTCCGGTTACAGGGGGTAAAGATGGAATTTAACAGATGGGAGAAAAGAGGTCAAACGAGTACAATAACAGACTTTGTTCGAAAAATAAGAGTAAGGAAAACAAAAATTAAAACAGAACAAAACGAAAACACAGGGAAAAGTAAGGCAGGAGAGAATCGTGAGATGGCAACAACTGTTATTATATTCGTTAAGACATTACTACCTGGTCCCTCGAAGCACCGTGAGAGTCGCCGTGCATCCGCGAAACGCTCCGATGGCACATCCCACAGCAACCATCTCAACCAGACGCCGCAGACTCCGCACTTGACGGATCCGACTCAGATCAATCCGACTGATCACCGCGTGTGCTGCTGCGTCTTCCGGGCAAGGAGAGGCTGAGACAGGGTGAAGCGCGAGAATGATGTCTCCTGGAAGGAGGTTGTTTGGGGTTAGGGTGGACCAACAGCTGCTTATCACGCCGACCACGCTGACGCTTTTGCTGGGAATGTTGGGCTCGAGGGCATGGCAACGAATCGGACTCATTCTTTTGTGATTCGGAATGGCAATAACAGAGCCTTTTCAAGGCAACGGGTAGATGATAGCGTTGGAAACGCTTTGAGAAATCGAGGAAACGGGTTATGAGGCTGTCTATTTGGTATATGATGCTTTCACGCCGAACATCGCGGGGCTGAAGATTAGGTTAGCGGAGATGAACGGGAAGCTCGAAATTTGGGGTTTCCATTTCCCAATGGTGTGGTTATATATGGACCCAAACGAATGCCTGAATCAGTTCACTTAGGAGCGGAACGGAATGGACTGCTATGATGGAGCGGATAGTACTGTCTCGAGACGGCTGATGCTTCATCTAACCCCTCCGCGTCCTGTTATTCTCTAACCCCGCTCATTCTGCAGACTATCTTCCAACGCACAGCGGTTGCTCTTATAAATCCCCAAACCCATACCGATATGCTCTTGTCCATGCTTTCTCGTGCTTGTGCCCCTTCTTTTGCGGTCATGGAATTGAGAATTTTATTTCAGTGGAGTGTCAATCCACAAGGAAAACTCCACTAGAGTACGGTTCCGTAAGAAGCGAGAACGGTTACGAGGCCTCTAAAGGATTATGGAGTTGCAGTTGCGGGTGTGAATGGCGCCAACGCAAACAGGTTTGTGCGACTCGGTGGCACCGCACCCCGCTGACTTTTGTCGGTTCCAGAAACCTCCCGCCCGCCTGATGCCCATTTCTGTCAGACGACAGGCCTCGGATGATTGGTTGAATTTCGTGTGCGAAAGTAAAAATCACGCTCCTGATCTCGACGAAACTCGGTGGATGTCAGTTGGAGCGTTGATTTCAACATCTTCTGTGGAAGAGCGGTTACCATCATCGCAGCATTCAGTAAAACGTGGATCTCGTTCGGAGGCGCTCCGCCATGTTTGAACCGCTGGATTCCTTGGGGCGGTCACGAGGCAGAAAGTGGCGCGAACGAGTGGCGTTTCCACCCCTACAAGTAGGTGCGGTTACCAATTCAGCAGCTTTGGACAATGTGGGATCTTGTTCGTGAAAGTATATTCTGCCTTTTTCCTTTCGGGTTTTGCATGTATCGCCGTTTCTCGTGTACAGATTATCGAGGCGAACGCTAGTGAGGAATCCTTGCATCGGGTCGAACAGTCTGGCGATTCGACAGGAGCGTAGTCGTCCTACCACGTCAGCTCGCTTCTGATTCACGCAACTGGAGCTGCTTCTAGCGGTTCTTAGCTAAGCATTAGCTGATGCCATTTACCAAGCATTCGACCTTAGCAAAGCCTGTCCGCACATTCTCTCACAAAATGCTTCATTTTTGCTGAATCAGCACATTGATCATTTCAATGCCACTGCTCGCCTAATTCACGATTCTGCTGGGCAGCGCAGGCAGTAGTTTGCCCTAGTGCCACTTCCCTAGTTGCCATGCTGGCAGCTCTAAAGCCGTGCCTACCACGGCGCCTCGATCGTGTCCTCTGCACCGCATTGCACCCATCCGCAGCGCACCGCGCGCTCCAGCCAGTCCAGGACCGAGTTTTAGTGCTCTGGGATCAGGCTCAGGCCGCCGCTGGATCCGCATGGATCCGCGGATTCACCGCAAGTTCCGGCGGAGATTCAGGAAACGGGAGTAATGCAGAAAGCAAGAAGGGGAATTTGGCGGCGGATGCGCCGGGTGCAAGCGGAAAAGGAGATAATGTGAAAAGGGGACTCGAGGGGGAAGTAGTTGCGGAGGGCGGAGGGGAATCCGCGCGCGTGGCGGAAGCATCTGCGGAAGGGGCGGGAGAAGCGGCGGGGGAAGCCGCCGCTAGTGAGGCATCGGCGGAAGCAGTGGGGGAGGAAGTCGCAGCGGATGCCGTAGCGCATGCAGGGTACTATGGCGCCCGGCGCGGCCGCATCCGACGGCGTGATTCACGGATCAAATCAGCCACGGAAGTCAGAGGAGCCGCTTCCGCTCCCGCCGCAGCGGCTGCTAACGCTGAGGCGGCCGCGCGTGGGGAAGGGACTCCCGTGGGGGGGATTGCGGGGGAAAATGCTGGCGCGTCCGCGGAGGGCGGGGCGGAATTCGTGATGGGGGAAGGCGCAGCGGGTGAAGGAGCAGGGGAAGGCGGGGGTTTGGCGGAGGAAACGTCCATCGTCCCCGCGGGTCCGCGCCCCGAGCATTATCCGAAAGTGCTCGCGATTCCGCTCACGCGGAGACCACTATTCCCAGGCTTCTACGTCCCCGTTATAGTAAAAGTGCGGCCACGCATGTGTTCCCTTTCTCCATACCGTCAAGGGTGCAGGGGGGTGGCAGGGGAACGCGTACCTTTCGTATTTTCCCTACGTGCATTCATGCTCCCCCCCCCCCTTCTCTCCCCCCCCCTCTCTCCCCCCGCCCCCCCCCTGCTGCAAAACCCCAAGCGGGTGCAAGCGCTCTCTTACACCGCACGCCCTCCCCCTTCATTGAAATCACTTTCGAGAATTCTCAATAGTCGAGGGAATTGTACGCCGGCTATATTGAAATCACTTTTGAGAATTCTCAAAAGTGATTTCAATATAACCCCAAGCGGGTGCAAGCGCTCTTCTACACCGCACCGCACGCCCTCCCCCTTCCCTACGTGTCCACACTCTCCGAACCTCTTATCCCTCCCCCCCGACCCCCCATTCCCCTCACACCCCAGAACCCCAAGTTGGTAGCTGCACTACAGGAGCTCAAGGCGCAAGGGACGCCGTACGTGGGCGCGTTTCTCGTGCGAGATGACCATGCTGCTGCTGCTTCTTCTCATTCTGCTGCCTTCACCACTGCCGCTGCCCCTGCTGCCGCTGCTGCTGCTGGTAATCATCTCTCCTCCCTCCCCTCTCCCCATTCCCCTCACACCCCAGAACCCCAAGTTGGTAGCTGCACTACAGGAGCTCAAGGCACAGGGGACGCCGTATGTGGGCGCGTTCCTCGTGCGAGATGACCACACCGCTGCTTCTCATTCTTCTGCTGCCGCTGCCGCTGCTGCTGGTGATCCCTCAGCTGGTACAGCAGGAACAGAGGGAGCAGGGGGAGCAGAGGGAGGAGCGGCAAGCAGCAGCAGCAGCAGGCGGGAGTTGGGCCCGGAGAGGAGTGACGGCGTGGGGGAGGAGTGGGGCAGGGGGGTGGTCAGCGGAGGGGGCGCAGGGGCGGGGGGAGGGCAGGCGGAAGGGCAGGCGGAAGGGCAGGGGGAAGGGAAGGCGGAAGGAGCAGGTGTGGGGGTGGGAGAGGGGGCGGGGGAGGGGGAAGGTGTTGGGGGTGGGGGTGGAGGGGAGGCGTTTATCAAGGGAGGGGAGCTGTATGGCAAGCTGCATGAGACAGGGACGTTCGCGCAGGTGAGAATGGGTGGAGAGCGGTGGTGATGCTGGGGGTGGGGGTGGAGGAGAGGCATTTATCAAGGGAGGGGAGCTGAATAGCAAGCTGCAGGAGACAGGGACGTTTGCCCAGGTGAGAATGGGTGGAGAGCGGTGGTGATGCAAGGGGTGGAGGTGGAGGAGAGGCATTTATCAAGGGAGGGGAGCTGTATAGCAAGCTGCATGAGACAGGGCTGTTTGCCCAGGTGAGAAGCGGTGGAGAGAGATGGGTTCAGAGGGGTTTGAAGGGATCTGTAGGGTGCTCAAGCCGGTGATGAAGCCAGCAGCCTCCTCCTCTCTCACTCCTCCCTCTACCCACTCTCCTCTCTCACTCCCCCCTGCAGGTGATGCAGGTGATCAAGCCGTTGGACGGGGACTCGGCACAGGTGCTGCTGATGCGAGAGACTTGTTCTTGCTTTACACCCCCACCCACTTCTCTCCCTCCTCTCCTCCCTTTCCTCCCTCCCACTTGCCGTCACCACCTCCCTGCAGGTGATGCAGGTGATCAAGCCGTTGGACGGGGACTCGGCACAGGTGCTGCTGATGGGGCACCGGCGACTGAGGCTGACCGGCATGGTTTCAGAGGACCCACTTACTGTCACCGTCGACCACGTCAAGGTGCGGATGGGTGGGATGCGGTTGCAGTGCGCCTGTGTAAGTTCTAGGCCGCTCTGTGGGCCAGTGGCAGTAGTGTAAGCCTTGTGTGGCATGAGGCTGCTTTGTATGCCTCATACCATTCACCTGAGGCTGACAGGCATGGTGGCAGGGGACCCACTCACTGTCATCGTGAACCATGTCAAGGTGCGGATGGGTGGGATGCGGTGGCAGTGCGCCTACAACAGCAACAGCGAGATGATTAAATCCACGGTAATGGAGGTGGTGAGCACATTCAAGGACCTCGTGGGGCACAGCCTTTACCCTCTTGCACACATTGCACCACATTGCACCCCGCTGCACCTCCCCGTTTTCACAAGGACCTCCCCTACGACAGCAACAGCGTGATGATAAAGGCGACAGTAATGGAGGTGGTGAGCACGCTCAAGGTCCTCGTGCTGGTGGTGCCTTCAGCCCTCACTCTCTCGCTCACCTGGCACCCTACTGCACCCCACTGCACCTCTTCCTTTTCATCCCATGCCCCATTTCAGGATCTACCATAAGACAGCAACAGCGTGACGATAAAGGCGACGGTGATGGAGGTGGTGAGCACGCTCAACCTCCTCGTGCTGGTGCTGGTGCCCTCAACCTTCATCGTCTTGCAACCCACTGCACCGCATTGCACCGCGTTGCACCCTTGCACACCACCTTACCCCAGGATCTACCATACGACAGCAACAGCGTGATGATTAAAGCCATGGTGACGGAGGTGGTGAGCACGCTCAAGGTCCTCGTGAGGCACAACCCTTACCCTCTTGCACACATTGCACCCCTCTGCACCTCCCCATATTCACCAGGACCTCCCCTATGACAGCAACAGCGTGATGATTAAAGCCACGGTAATGGAGGTGGTGAGCACGCTCAAGGACCTCGTGAGGCACAACCCGCTGTACAAGGAGCACATCGCCATGTTCGTGCAGCACGTAGGGGAATTCAACGCTTCAAGGATGGCCGATTTCGGAGCGGCACTAACCACTGCTGACGAGCCCACGCTACAGTCGGTCCTAGAAGAGCTGGATGTGAGTCCTGGTAGTGGCATCATGTTTAAGTCGGTGAGCATGTGCGTGTGAGTCAGTCTCACCCCCAGACCCGTGTGAGTCAGTCTCACCCCCAGACCCGTGTGAGTCAGTCTCACCCCCAGACCCGTGTGAGTCAGTCTCACCCCCAGACCCGTGTGAGTCAGTCTCACCCCCAGACCCGTGTGAGTCAGTCTCACCCCCAGACCCGTGTGAGTCAGTCTCACCACCAGACCCGTGTGAGTCAGTCTCACCCCCAGACCCGTGTGAGTCAGTCTCACCCCCAGACCCGTGTGAGTCAGTCTCACCCCCAGACCCCCGCCGCAACCCGCTGTACGAGCAAGGAGCACATCGCCATGTTCGTGCAACATGTGGGGGAGTTCTGCGTTTCAAGAATGGCTGACTTTGGCGTTGCTGTAACAACTGCGGATGAGTCGACGCTGCAGTTGGTGTTGGAAGAGCTGGATGTGAGTGGTGGTGGCATTGTGTGCATGATGTGCCAACATTCTCAACAACCGAATCAGCCAATATCACATCACCCGTGCGGCACAACCCGATTTACAAGCAAGAAGCACATCGGCGAGTTCAATGCTTCAAGAATGGCTGACTTCGAAGCTGCACGCACGACCGCGATAGTTAATTCCTTTCTCCTCTCCCTCTCCCCTATTTATCAACTACCCTCCCCCCCCCTTCGTTCCATCATCCCAGGTGGGCAAGCGACTCTCCCTCGCGCTCATGCTGCTCAAGAAGGAACTAGAGCTCGCAAAGCTGCAGGTGAGGCGATGATGGTTACCGTTACTCCATTACCATTTCCATTACCATTGTCATTACCAATACTCCATTACCATTTCTTCATTACCATGACCATTATCAAACATTACCATTACCAGCATCATCACTATTATTGCATTAGCATTACCATTACCAGTACTCCATTACTCTTACCATTACCATTACTATCATCATTACTCACCATTATTTCGTTATCATTAGCATTATTCCATTACCAATACTATTAACATCAACATTACTCAATTACCATTACTCTATAACCTTAACCATTACCATTACTATTACCATTATCATTACCATTACCATTACTGTTACTCCATTACCATTATCATTACCATTATTCTATTATCATTACCATTACTATCGCTATCATTACTACTTCATTACCATTATCATTATCATCACCACTACTTTATTTGCTATCATTACCATTACCATTACTATTATTAATATGATTACCATTATCATTACTATAACAATCACCATTAATTCATTACAATTACCATTACCATTATCATTACTATTACCATCACTGTTATTTTATTACCATTGGCATTACCGTTATTATCACCGTTACTATTACCATTATCATTCTCATTACTATTACCATTACCATTATCATTATCATTATTATTAATACATTACCATTATCATTACCATTACCATTACCATTACCATTACTATTACCATTACCATCACTATCACCGTTACCATTATCATTACTATTATCATCATCATCACCTCTACTTTATTACCATTACCATTATCGATACTATTACCATGACCATTACCATTTATCCATTACCATTACCATTATCATTACCGTAACCAATACCATCACCATTAATCCATTACCATTACCATCATCATTACCATTACCATCACCGTTACTCTATTCCCATTATCATAACCATTACCATCACCATTACTTTTACCATTATCATTACCATGACCATTACCATAGACATTATCATTACTCCATTATCATTATTCATTATCATTACTCCATTATTATTACTCCATTACTATTACCATTGACATTAGCATCACCATTACCATTATCATTACAATTACCACTACTATTATGATTACTATTCTCTACCATTACCATTATTATTAATCCATTACCATTATCATTACCATTACCATCACCATCGCCATTATCATTATTATTACTTCATTAACATTACCATTACCATTACCATTACCATTATCATTACCATTACCATTACCATTATCATTACCATTATCATTACCTTTATCATTACCATTACCATAACCATTAACATCACCATTACTCCATTACCATTACCATAACCATCACCATCACCATTATCATAACCATAACCATTACCATTTCAATTACCATTACCATTACTCTATCATTATTACCATTACCATTACGATTACGATTACCATTATCATTACCATTACCATTATCATTACCATTACCATTACCATTACTCCATTACCATTACCGTTACCATCGTTTTGCATTTTCACCATGTCCATTCCGCATCCTTCCTTGTTTTCTCTGTGTCTACCTTTCTTAACTACTCCTCCTCTACCTGTGAACTGCTTGACAAACCAGCCTAACCTCAAATTTCATGGTTTTCAATTCCCTTGTCCACTGACAGGCCAACATCGCCAAGGGCGTGGAGGAGAAGCTGGCAGGGGAAAGCCGCAGGTACATGCTGATGGAACAGCTCAAGGCCATCAAGAAGGTGAGCAGAGCAGGGATTAAGGGGGCGAGGGGAGGGGCATCATTCTTCTATGACACATTCGGTCGTCGTTCTCTTCTCTCATCGCCTCCTTTGCTGCTCTGTCGTCCCATCATTTGCCCCTCGTGGTGCTCAGGAGCTAGGGCTGGAGAAGGATGATAAGACTGCACTCATTGGTGAGACATGCCATGCCATGCCATGCCATGCCATGCCATGCCATGCCACGCCACGCCACGCCACGCCACGCCACGCCACGCCACGCCACGCCACGCCACGCCACGCCACGCCATGCCATGCCACGCCACGCCACGCCACGCCACGCCATGCCATGCCATGCCATGCCATGCCATGCCACGCCACGCCACGCCACGCCACGCCACGCCATGCCACGCCATGCCATGCCATGACATGCCATGCCATGCCATGCCATGCTGTGCCATGCCATGCCATGCCATGCCATGCTGTGCCATGCCATGCCATGCCATGCCATGCCATGCCACGCCATGCCATGCCACGCCATGCCATGCTGTGCCATGCCGTCTAGGTATTTTGAGGCGTCGCAACGCCTCTCACGCACATTCCATGTCTTGAGCCATCTGAAATCTCCTGCCTCTTGCTCGCCTCTCATTCACCTCTCACATCCGGTCCCATGTCTTCTCAGGTCGCTTCAAGGAGAAGCTTCAGCCGTTTCAGCAGAATTGCCCGCCAGCAGCCATGCAGGTAGCAATCTAGTCTTTGAATAGTCCATGAACATGGGCATGGGCAGCAATCTAGTCCACTCACTGTGATCAGGTAAATAGATGCGCTTTTCATGCATCCCTTTCGCAATTTTACCTTGCTTTTCTTTCATTCTTCCTTTCTTTCTTTCTTTGCCCTTCACGCATTGGTCGTTCCACCAGGTGACAGAGGACGAGATGGCGAAGCTGCAAGGGCTGGGGGCTGGAATCGAGCCCCACGTGCAAGGGCTGGGGGAAGGGGGCTGGGGGCTGGAATCGAGCTCGTATGACCTCTTTCTCTCCACGTGCCTCCTGTTGCCACGTGCCTCCTGTTGCCACGTGCCTCCTGTTGCCACGTGCCTCCTGTTGCCACGTGCCTCCTGTTGCCACGTAATTTCTTTCATCTCAAAACAGGTGATAGAGGACGAGATGGTGAAGCTGCAAGGGCTGGAGGCGAGCTCATAGTACCTCTTTGTCTCTCCTTTGGTGGTCACTAGAGGTTCTGAACTGCCTTGCCTTGCACATAACCCCCACCACCAGGTGATAGAGGACGAGATGGCGAAGCTGCAAGGGCTGGAGGCGAGCTCATAGTTCCTCTTTGTCTCTCCTTTGGTGGTCACTAGAGGTTCTGAACTGCCTTGCGTTGCACATAACCCCCACCACCAGGTGATAGAGGACGAGATGGCGAAGCTGCAAGGGCTGGAGGCGAGCTCGTCAGAGTTCAACGTGACAAGGAACTACCTCGACTGGCTCACGTCCATTCCCTGGGGGCACTACAGGTGGGGCGAGGGGAGGTGGTTTAAGGGGGGCGAAGTGTGGTTGATGGGGAACCACAGGTGGGGGAGGGATGGGTGGGTGGGTGAGTGCCCAAGCTGCAGGGGGTGGAAGCAAGATCATGAGGGTATAATTCGACTCATGAGGCATCTCAAAACCCGACTTCTATGGCAGTGCTGACTCTGCTAATGCTGTTTTGAGACGTCTCAAACGTTGAGGCGCCTCAAGACATGATTTTTTTTATGCGCCTCAAAAAACATGAGTTTTAATGCGCCTCAAAAAACATGACAGGGCTGACTCTGCTGATGCTGCCTTTCCCTCCCCGCATCCCCATTCCCATCTCCACTTCCCAATCCTTATCTCTCCTCAGCGAGGAGAACTTGGACGTGGTGCGGGCGCAGCAGGTGCTGGATGCAGATCACTACAAGAGCCCCTCTTATCGTCTGTATATGCGTGGCTGTATTCCACCTCATTCCTGACTTTTGAGTCGACTAAAAAGTCACATCACTCCTGTGTCTCTGCCCTTCCCTGTCCCCAGCGAGGAGATCTTGGACGTGGTGAGGGCGCAGCAGGTACTGGATGCGGATCACTACGGGCTGACGCCATTGATGCTTTCCTTCCCTCTCCCCATACCCATTTCCCATTCCCTCCCAACCTCTTCCCAGCGAGGAGAACTTGGACGTGGTGCGGGCGCAGCAGGTGCTGGATGCGGATCACTACGGGCTGACGGACGTGAAGGAGCGCATCCTCGAGTTCATTGCTGTTGGCAGGCTCAAGGGCAGCACACACGGTGGGTCTAGTTTGTATTGGTGGGTGGGTGGGTGGGTGGGTGGGTGGGTATGGCCGTATGGGTGCATTGAAGACCATCTGTTACTTCGGTGCCAATGCCCCGCCCTGGGTCGCAAGTTCATCACATGGCTGGCCTGATGGACTAATGCCTTCTCTTCTCTTGTTGTTGTCCTGTGCTCGGTGTGTCTTTCCTCCTCCCACCAGGCAAGATCATCTGTCTGGTGGGCCCGCCAGGAGTGGGAAAGACGTCCATCGGTCGCTCTATCGCCAATGCCTTGGATCGCAAGTTTTACCGCTTCTCCGTGGGAGGGCTCTCTGACGTGGCAGAGATTAAGGTGGGGCTTGTCTGACGTGGCAGAAATCAAGGTGGGGCTAGTCTGATGTGGCAGATGTCATGGTTTGGCCTTTTTTCTTCTTCATGCGTCAGCACACACGTCCACATGAGATTCGTTCATTCGACATGCTTGTTTGTTTGTTTGTTTGTTTTTTTTTTTTGTTTTGTTTTTTTTTTTTTTTTTCGTAGAAATCGACTTACCTCCTGCCTTGCTGATTGCCTGAAAGATGAAGCACCGGTGCTTCAGGGCTGACTTTTGAGTCGACTCGAAAGCACTCATGGCAGAAATCAAGACTCACTAACCATCAATGCTTTCCCCATCCCCCCATGACCCCACTCTGAGACGTATCGTAACCTCGTTACCTTTCCCAATCCTCTCTTGATCTTGTCCTTTCTCCCAACCATCAGGGCCACCGGCGTACATATGTGGGCGCCATGCCACGCAAGATGGTGCAGTGCCTCAAGCGTAGCCCCTGTGCAACGCGTTTCTTGTGCCCATGTAACCCTTAACCACACCCATATTTCTTTCTCCCTCTCCCATGTTACCCGCTCTCCCAATCCAACCATCAGGGTCACCGGCGCACGTATGTGGGCGCCATGCCAGGCAAGATGGTGCAGTGCCTCAAGTCCACAGGGGTGGGCAACCCTCTCGTGCTGATCGATGAGATTGACAAGGTGTGTAAGAGCTTAGAGCACTACCGAGCGCGGCAGGTATGGTGTGGAGCTGTGGTGCGCGGTGCTGGAGGCCGTGCTAGGCAAGATGGTGCAGTGCGTCAAGTCCACGGGGGTGGGCAACCCTCTCGTGCTCATTGACGAGATTGACAAGGTACGTGCGGTGTGCGGTGTGGGGTGTGGGGTGTGGGGTGTGGGGTGTGCGGTGTGGGGTGTGGGGTGTGGTTCCTGGGGCAGGGTGCGTGCGAGCAGCACTGATGGAGACGTGGCATGGCATGGCGCCATGCCATGTCGCATTGTCGCCACAGGGGTGGACAACAGCGCTCCTTGCTACGTGGTAAGGCTCGGAAGCTAAACGGTTCGAAATTGTTTCTTGCTCAAACTGCTACACTTCCCTTGCTCCATGTCCACACCTCTTGTTTCTTTCTCCTAACCCACTCCTCCTCACCTCTCCCCTCCATTTCCTCTCCACTCCCTCCATCTTCCTTTCCTGCATTGCTGCCTTTCCCGCTTGCAGCTGGGCAGGGGCCACACAGGCGACCCAGCAGGAGCACTGCTAGAGATGCTGGATCCGGAGCAGAACGCATCGTTCCTGGACCACTATTTGGACGTGCCGCTGGACCTCTCCAAGGTAAGCCGTGTGTGCCGTGTGTGCCGTGTGTGCCGTGTGTGCCGTGTGTGCCGTGTGTGCCGTGTGTGCCGTGTGTGCCGTGTGTGCCGTGTGTGCCGTGTGTGCCGTGTGTGCCGTGTGTGCCGTGTGTGCCGTGTGTGCCGTGTGTGCCGTGTGTGCCGTGTGTGCCGTGTGTGCCGTGTGTGCCGTGTGTGCCGTGTGTGCCGTGTGTGCCGTGTGTGCCGTGTGTGCCGTGTGTGCCGTGTGTGCCGTGTGTGCCGTGTGTGCCGTGTGTGCCGTGTGTGCCGTGTGTGCCGTGTGTGCCGTGTGTGCCGTGTGTGCCGTGTGTGCCGTGTGTGCCGTGTGTGCCGTGTGTGCCGTGTGTGCCGTGTGTGCCGTGTGTGCCGTGTGTGCCGTGTGTGCCGTGTGTGCCGTGTGTGCCGTGTGTGCCGTGTGTGCCGTGTGTGCCGTGTGTGCCGTGTGTGCCGTGTGTGCCGTGTGTGCCGTGTGTGCCGTGTGTGCCGTGTGTGCCGTGTGTGCCGTGTGTGCCGTGTGTGCCGTGTGTGCCGTGTGTGCCGTGTGTGCCGTGTGTGTGGTTCTTCCGGTGCACCAGTCATTGTGCTGGAGATGCTCGATCCAGAGCACAACAGATCGTTCCTCCACCACTACCTGGACGTCCCGCTGGACCTCTCCAAGGTATGTATGTTTTGAGTCGACTCAAAACACGACCCTATCCAAGGTGTGTGTGTGTGCTGTGTGTGACCATTGTAACGCAAGTGAGCAAGTGAGCAGAGGAGCACGCGTCATTTCTCGACCATTACCGGGACGTGCGGCTAGACCTATCCAAGGTTGACTTTTGATTCGACTCAAAAATCAACACGGTGTGCCATGTGGCTTTCCTTGTTGCTCTTCAAGTGTGGCAAGTGCAAGTGATTGGAACTGAAAGCATGATTGCTGAATGCATCGTTCCTCGATCACTACCTGGGCGTGCTGCTGGACTAAGGTAGGCCTGTGTACATGATTGTTGCACACCTCGCATGGCATGTCAACCGAGCACGTGCCGCTGGACCTACTTCCTCCGAGCACGTGCCGCTGGACCTACTTCCTCCGAGCACGTGCCGCTGGACCTACTTCCTGGATATTTTTGTTGATCTTGAGAAAGAGATGTTTTGAGACGTCTCAAAACATCTCTACTTCCTGGATATTTTTGTTGATCTTCCTCCCTCCCCCTTCTCTCCCCCACCACCCCTTCTTCAAATGCTCTTTGTGTGCACAGCCAACATGCTAGAGACCATACCTGCACCTCTCTTGGATCGCATGGAGGTGATTCGCCTTGTGGGGAACATTTCAGGCGAGAATATAACGACTTGAATTGCAACCGACCTCCTCCGTCCCTCACTGCCCCCACTCCCCCCCTCAGGTGCTGTTTGTGTGCACGGCCAATATGCTTGAAACCATACCTGCACCCCTGCTGGATCGCATGGAGGTGATTCGCCTGGCGAGGTGACTTTTGAGTCGACTCAAAAGTCACTTCGCCTGGCGGGGTACATTTCAGGCGAGAAGACGACTTATGTTCCTACTTACCTACCTCCTTTTCCACCCCCCGTCACCCCTCTCCTCACCTCCCCCTCTCCCCTTCAGGTGCTCTTCGTGCGCACAGCCAACACGTTAGAGACCATCCCTGCGCCCCTGCTGGATCGCATGGAGGTGATTCGGCTGGTGGGGTACATTTCGGACGAGAAGAAGACTTATGTTTCCACTGACCTCCTTTATATTCCACCTCTCTGTTCTTCCCCCTCCACCTTCACCCCTCCCCTTCAGGTGCTCTTTGTGTGCACGGCCAACATGCTTGAGACCATCCCTGCGCCCCTGTTGGATCGAATGGAGGTGATTCGCCTGGTGGGGTACATTTCAGACGAGAAGACCCACATCGCTCGAGGGTACCTTGAACCCGCTGCGCGCACTGGGTGCGGTGTGAAGCCAGAACAGGTGAGGGCTCTTTAGGACTCAATCATCTCTCTGCCGCTCCCTCTAGCGCCCTCGCTCACACCCCTGTTAGATCGCATGGAGGTGATTCGGCTTTTGGGGTACATATCGGATGAGAAGACCCGCATCGCTCAAGGGTACGTGGAACCTGCTGCATGCTGTGGGTGTGGCGTGAAAGAGGAGCAGGTGAGGGCGTTTGTAACACAACGTATGAGGCACACACGCCAACACACTGACATACATTGACCCACATCGCTCGAGGGTACCTGGAACCTGCTGCTTCTGTGGGTGTGGCGTGAAGGAGGAACAGGCAAGGGGAATTTTATCACACAATGTAGAAGCACACACACCCACTCACACCCTCGCACATGAACGCAGGTTGCACACTCACATTTACACACACACACACACACACACACACACACACACGCGCGCGCGCGCGCACACACACACACACGGACGCGCACACACACACATGCGCTCACGCGCGCTCACACGTACTCACACACACATACACTCGCATCCCGTCTTGACCATGGCTACATTCAATGTTTGCAACTCTGCTTAGAATCGAACTTCTTCATTTCAGCTTCATCGAATTCTGTGGCTCTGCTTCCCACGTGTAGTGAGGGTGTTTTTGAAACGTCTCAAAACACCCTCACTACACGTGGCAATTCTGTGGCTCTGCTTCCCTCTCTCTCCTCCACCCACCAGGTTCTGGTGACCGACGGTGCGATGCACTCACTGATCGAGACGTACTGCAAGAAGGCAGGGGTGAGGGGGTGAGGGACCTTTGAAGGCGCCTCGCTAATCGCTCTCTCCCTTCCCTCCTCCACCCACCAGGTTCTGGTGACCGACGGTGCGTTGCACTCACTGATTGAGACGTACTGCAAGAAGGCAGGGGTGAGGGGGTGAGGGACCTTTGAAGGCGCCTCGCTAATCGCTCTCTCCCTTCCCTCCTCCTCCCACCAGGTTCTGGTGACCGACGGTGCGATGCACTCACTGATCGAGACGTACTGCAAGAAGGCAGGGGTGAGGGGGTGAGGGACCTTTGAAGGCGCCTCGCTAAACGCTCTCTCCCTTCCCTCCTCCACCCACCAGGTTCTGGTGACCGACGGTGCGTTGCACTCACTGATCGAGACGTACTGCAAGAAGGCAGGGTTGAGGGGGTGAGGGACCTTTGAAGGCGCCTCGCTAATCGCTCTCTCCCTTCCCTCCTCCACCCACCAGGTTCTGGTGACCGACGGTGCGTTGCACTCACTGATCGAGACGTACTGCAGAGAGGCAGGGGTGAGGGGGTGAGGGACCTTTGAAGGCGCCTCGCTAATCGCTCTCTCCCTTCCCTCCTCCACCCACCAGGTTCTGGTGACCGACGGTGCGTTGCACTCACTGATCGAGACGTACTGCAGAGAGGCAGGGGTGAGAAACCTACAGAAGCACATCGAGAGAATCTACCGCAAGGTAGGGAGAGGTATGCAGTACCTCAAGGTAGGGAGAGGTATGCAGGAAGGTGTGCAGGGAGGTGTGCAGGGAGGTGTGCAGGGAGGTGTGCGGCAGTGCTTTCTCTGGTGGGGTAGTCAGTGCATTTCGACAAAAGCACACTCCGGACCTCTCCGTTGCTATTCTCTATCAGCTTTTGAGTCGACTCAAAAGCACACTCTGGACCTCTCCGTTGCTATTCTCTATCAGCTTTTGAGTCGACTCAAAAGCACACTCTGGACCTCTCCGTTGCTATTCTCTATCAGCTTTTGAGTCGACTCAAAAGCACACTCTGGACCTCTCCGTTGCTATTCTCTATCAGCTTTTGAGTCGACTCAAAAGCACACTCTGGACCTCTCCGTTGCTATTCTCTATCAGCTTTTGAGTCGACTCAAAAGCACACTCTGGACCTCTCCGTTGCTATTCTCTATCAGCTTTTGAGTCGACTCAAAAGCACACTCTGGACCTCTCCGTTGCTATTCTCTATCAGCTTTTGAGTCGACTCAAAAGCACACTCTGGACCTCTCCGTTGCTATTCTCTATCAGCTTTTGAGTCGACTCAAAAGCACACTCTGGACCTCTCCGTTGCTATTCTCTATCAGCTTTTGAGTCGACTCAAAAGCACACTCTGGACCTCTCCGTTGCTATTCTCTATCAGCTTTTGAGTCGACTCAAAAGCACACTCTGGACCTCTCCGTTGCTATTCTCTATCAGCTTTTGAGTCGACTCAAAAGCACACTCTGGACCTCTCCGTTGCTATTCTCTATCAGCTTTTGAGTCGACTCAAAAGCACACTCTGGACCTCTCCGTTGCTATTCTCTATCAGCTTTTGAGTCGACTCAAAAGCACACTCTGGACCTCTCCGTTGCTATTCTCTATCAGCTTTTGAGTCGACTCAAAAGCACACTCTGGACCTCTCCGTTGCTATTCTCTATCAGCTTTTGAGTCGACTCAAAAGCACACTCTGGACCTCTCCGTTGCTATTCTCTATCAGCTTTTGAGTCGACTCAAAAGCACACTCTGGACCTCTCCGTTGCTATTCTCTATCAGCTTTTGAGTCGACTCAAAAGCACACTCTGGACCTCTCCGTTGCTATTCTCTATCAGCTTTTGAGTCGACTCAAAAGCACACTCTGGACCTCTCCGTTGCTATTCTCTATCAGCTTTTGAGTCGACTCAAAAGCACACTCTGGACCTCTCCGTTGCTATTCTCTATCAGCTTTTGAGTCGACTCAAAAGCACACTCTGGACCTCTCCGTTGCTATTCTCTGTCAGCTTTTGAGTCGACTCAAAAGCACACTCTGGACCTCTCCGTTGCTATTCTCTGTCAGCTTTTGAGTCGACTCAAAAGCACACTCTGGACCTCTCCGTTGCTATTCTCTATCAGCTTTTGAGTCGACTCAAAAGCACACTCTGGACCTCTCCGTTGCTATTCTCTGTCAGCTTTTGAGTCGACTCAAAAGCACACTCTGGACCTCTCCGTTGCTTTTCTCTGTCAGCTTTTGAGTCGACTCAAAAGCACACTCTGGACCTCTCCGTTGCTATTCTCTATCAGCTTTTGAGTCGACTCAAAAGCACTCTGGACCTCTCCGTTGCTATTCTCTATCAGCTTTTGAGTCGACTCAAAAGCACACTCTGGACCTCTCCGTTGCTATTCTCTATCAGCTTTTGAGTCGACTCAAAAGCACACTCTGGACCTCTCCGTTGCTATTCTCTATCAGCTTTTGAGTCGACTCAAAAGCACACTCTGGACCTCTCCGTTGCTATTCTCTGTCAGCTTTTGAGTCGACTCAAAAGCACACTCTGGACCTCTCCGTTGCTATTCTCTATCAGCTTTTGAGTCGACTCAAAAGCACACTCTGGACCTCTCCGTTGCTATTCTCTGTCAGCTTTTGAGTCGACTCAAAAGCACACTCTGGACCTCTCCGTTGCTTTTCTCTGTCAGCTTTTGAGTCGACTCAAAAGCACACTCTGGACCTCTCCGTTGCTATTCTCTATCAGCTTTTGAGTCGACTCAAAAGCACACTCTGGACCTCTCCGTTGCTATTCTCTATCAGCTTTTGAGTCGACTCAAAAGCACACTCTGGACCTCTCCGTTGCTATTCTCTATCAGCTTTTGAGTCGACTCAAAAGCACACTCTGGACCTCTCCGTTGCTATTCTCTATCAGCTTTTGAGTCGACTCAAAAGCACACTCTGGACCTCTCCGTTGCTATTCTCTATCAGCTTTTGAGTCGACTCAAAAGCACACTCTGGACCTCTCCGTTGCTATTCTCTATCAGCTTTTGAGTCGACTCAAAAGCACACTCTGGACCTCTCCGTTGCTATTCTCTGTCAGCTTTTGAGTCGACTCAAAAGCACACTCTGGACCTCTCCGTTGCTATTCTCTATCAGCTTTTGAGTCGACTCAAAAGCACACTCTGGACCTCTCCGTTGCTATTCTCTGTCAGCTTTTGAGTCGACTCAAAAGCACACTCTGGACCTCTCCGTTGCTTTTCTCTGTCAGCTTTTGAGTCGACTCAAAAGCACACTCTGGACCTCTCCGTTGCTATTCTCTATCAGCTTTTGAGTCGACTCAAAAGCACACTCTGGACCTCTCCGTTGCTATTCTCTATCAGCTTTTGAGTCGACTCAAAAGCACACTCTGGACCTCTCCGTTGCTATTCTCTATCAGCTTTTGAGTCGACTCAAAAGCACACTCTGGACCTCTCCGTTGCTATTCTCTGTCAGTAGTTTCCTCCTTCCCTTGCCGTCGGCTTGCCTTGCCTCGCAGGTGGCGCTGAAAATTGTGCGGAGGGAGTGGGAGAGGGAGGAGCAAAAGAAGGTAGCTGCGGCTGCAGCATCAGGGTTACTGGAGGACGGGGAAGAGGACATGGTTTCTGTCTCCAGTGATTCTAGTGGCAGCAGCATCAGTGATTTGAGCAGAAGTGGTTCTAGCAGTAGCAGCAGCAGCAGGAAGGACAGTATGGAGATAGCGGAGAAGATTATGGAGGGTACAGAGGGGGCTCTGGACCTTTTTCACACGGCTGTCCGATGATGGAGGGGAAGGGGAGGCCTTGAGGAGGGAGGAGGGGGAAAGGAGGGGCGAGGAGAAGGAGGAGAAAGATGAGGAGACTCGAGTGAAAGGGAGGGAAGAGAGAGTGGAGAGGGAGAAAAAGGCCGGGAAGGAGGCTGAAGTTGACGCCGGGAAGGAGGGTGAGAGTGAGGCTGGGGCCTCTGAGAAGGAGGGTGGGAAGGAAGAAGCTGAGAGGATAGTGGTGGATGAGGGCACGTTGGTGGAGTATGTGGGGCAGCCGGTGTTTCAGAGCGAGCGCATGTACGATGAGACGCCCGTGGGTGTGGTCATGGGGCTGGCATGGACGGCCATGGGGGGATCGACTCTTTACGTTGAAGCCACAGTGATTGAGCAGGTGAGCGGGTCACTGTTGTGCATGCATTTATCGAGACCTATTCCATTAAGAGCGAGCGCATGTACGATGAGACGCCCGTGGGTGTGGTCATGGGACTGGCATGGACGGCCATGGGGGGATCGACTCTTTACGTTGAAGCCACAGTGATTGAGCAGGTGAGCGGGTCACTGTTGTGCATGCATTTATCGAGACCTATTCCATTAAGAGCGAGCGCATGTACGATGAGACGCCCGTGGGTGTGGTCATGGGACTGGCCTGGACGGCCATGGGGGGCTCTACACTCTATGTGGAAGCCACCGTCATTGAGCAGGTGAGTGGGACACTGCTGTGCGTGCATGTATCGAGACCCATTCCAGTCAGAGTGAGCGCATGTATGATGCGACGCCCGTGGGTGTGGTCATGGCATGGGGCTGGCATGGACAGCCATGGGGGGGATCGATCCTCTGCGTGGAAGCCACTGTCATCAAGCAGGTGAGGGGGGGATCTTTGGTCAGTTGAGGTGGGTTGAGGTGGGTTGAGGTGGGTTGAGATGGGTTGAGGTGGGTTGAGATGCATGCACATGCACGTGCTGGCTGCAGCTACACCTGATGCAGCCCCTTCTCACTCACATCGCATCCCTTCTCTCTCTCCTCCCTTCCTCCTCGTTCCTTTCCTCTTCCCTTCCTTCCTTGATTATGGCAGGCAGCAGAGCGGAGTAGCCTTGAGCTGACAGGTCAACTGGGAGACGTGATGCGGGAGAGCGCCACCATAGCGCACACAGTGGCACGGCAGATCCTCACATCCCTGGCTCTTCCCTGCCTCGTCCTCTCTTACCCGCTTCCTCTCATAATGGCAGGCAGCAGAGCGGGGCAGTCTCGAACTCACAGGCCAACTGGGAGACGTGATGAGGGAGAGCGCCACCATAGCGCACACGGTGGCACGGCAGATTCTCACACGCGCCGACCCCGGCAGCGAGTTCTTCCGAAAGACGCGCATGCACATGCACGTGCCAGCTGGGGCCACGCCCAAGGACGGCCCGAGTGCCGGCTGCACCATGATCACTGCCATGCTGTCACTGGCGCTGGGCCGGCATGTGCGGGCGGACCTGGCCATGACTGGAGAGGTCACACTCACTGGCAGGGTCTTACCTATAGGAGGGGTGAGTTGCGTTGGAATGCACTGAATTTCGGTAATTGTGGTTACTGGGAAGTGCATGCACATGCACGTGCCGGCCGGGGCCATCCCCAAGGACGGCCCGAGTGCTGCCTGCACCATGATCACTCCCATGCTGTCACTGGCGCTGGGGAGGCATGTGCGGGCGGATTTGGCGATGACTGGAGAGGTCACCTTGACTGGGAGAGTGCTGCCGATAGGAGGGGTGAGTTTCCTTGAGTCGCGTTGAATCGCGGTACTGTGTGGTTACAGGTATGTTGCTGCTGGTGACTGGGAAGGGAAGCACATGCACGTGATTGGCGAAGTGACTTTGACTGGGAGAGTGCTGCCGATAGGAGGGGTGAGTTGCCTTCACTTCCGTCGACTTTGTTGACTTATGCTGACTTTTGTTGACTTGCTGGCTGCACGATGATCACTGCCACGCTGTCGCTGGGATGCTCTCTTGCTCTCCTCCCCTCCGCAACAGGTGAAGGAGAAGACCATAGCAGCTCGTCGCAATGGCGTGAAGCTGCTTGTGTTCCCCAAGGCCAACCGCAAGGACTATGAGGAGCTGCCGGAGCATGTGAGGCAAGGGCTGGATGCACGATTTGTGGAGCACTATGACGAGATCTTTGAACTCGCGTTCGGACGGCGGGTGGAGGAGATGGGTGATGCAGAGGTTGTGGCTGATGCTGTTGCTGTGGAGCCCCAGAGGGAGAAGGCCGGTGCCATCATTGCATCGTGATTGTTTCATGGAACGTTACCAACTTATGATGCTGATGTTAGTTAATGAGGTGTTTGGTGTGACATGTGTTATGGTATGGCAGTAGGATGAGTTCTGATATGCCAGTAGGGCTCTGTGTTGCACCATGTTTGCATGTTTTGCAATTCTTTCCGGGAGCCAGTCTCATGAATTAACTACGGTACGTGATTTTGCGCATCAAGTGATGTACCAGTTCTTTCATGGCAATGGCTGAACTCAGAACCTGAAAGCATTTTCCTCTCAGCAGAAAGGTATTTTCATCTATCCCAGGACAAGGAGCTCTGGATCTCCTATGCCAACCCCAGCAGACAACCCTGATGTCCTTGACATTCCGACGCCCTTGACATTCCGACTCCTCGCACTTACGCTGAGGCAGTGTCAGGGCCTTGGGCCTCTCAGTGGAGAGCTGCCATGGACGCAGAGATGGCCTCCTACAGATCCACAGGCACCTACGTCGATGAGGTTCCCCCTCCGGGGGCGAACGTAGTCGACGGCATGTGGATCTACAGGGTGAAGCGGCCACCGGGATCTCCTCCGGTCTTCAAGGCACGCTACGTGGCTAGAGGTTTCAGTCAGCGCGAGGGAGTTGACTTCTTTCAGACCTTCGCGCCCACCCCGAAGATGACCACTCTTCGGGTGTTACTACACGTAGCAGCACAGAGAGACTACGAGTTACACTCTCTCGACTTCTCTACTGCTTTCCTTCAGGGCAGTCTTCACGAGGAGGTCTGGTTGCGTCGTCCCTCTGCCTTCACTGGCTCTTTCCCTCCTGGGACCCAGTGGAGGCTGAGGCGACCGGTTTACGGTCTTCGTCAGGCTCCTCGTGAGTGGCACGACACCCTGCGTTCTACCCTGTCTGACCTTGGGTTCCAGCCGTCTTCTGCTGACCCGTCGCTGTTCGTTCGTCGTGGCCCCACACCTTTCTTTGTTCTGGTCTACGTTGACGACCTTGTTTTCGCCACCCCTGACAGGGTTGCTTTGGCACACGTGAAGTCCGAACTGCAGAAGAGACACACCTGCACTGATCTTGGTGAGCTGCGCCACTACCTTGGCCTGCAGATCACCAGGGACAGAGCTGCTCGCACCATTACACTTTCACAGTCGCACATGGTGCAGCAGGTCCTTCAGCGGTTCGGGCTTCAGCACTCCACAGTACAGCGCACACCTCTTGCTGTTGACCACAGACTCACTGGACCCTTTCCTGACGAGCCGTTCGAGCCTAGTGGTCCCTACGCAGAGCTTGTGGGTTGCCTCATGTACCTGATGACTTGTACTCGCCCGGACCTCGCCTTCCCTCTCAGCGTTCTTGCGCGCTTTGTTGCGCCAGGGAGACACCGTCCTGTTCACTGGACAGCAGCTGTGAGGGTGGCGAAGTACCTAGCGACGACGTCAGGCGTGGGGCTAGTTCTTGGAGGGCAGCAGTCTGTCGTACTTACTGGTCACTGTGACTCCTCTTACGCTGACGACGCTGAGACTCACAGGTCTACTCAGGGGTACTGTTTCAGCCTGGGTTCTGGAGCTGTTTCCTGGCGGTCCACGCGCTCCTCTTCGGTCTCGACCTCTACAGCTGAGGCTGAGATCTACGCTGGTGCCATGGCGGCACAGGAGCTGCGTTGGTTGACCTTCTTGCTCACCGACCTTGGTGAGCGGCCGAGCTCTGCACCGACCTTGTTCACTGACAACAAGGCGTCTATTCTCCTTTGTCGAGAGCCACGACTGGAGAGCAGAGTGAAGCACATTCACGTCAGGTACTTTCTTCTGCGAGAGTTGCAGAGGCGTGGACAGGCTCGCTTTGAGTTTGTGGAGTCCGAGGCCAACACTGCAGACATCTTCACCAAGGCGCTTCCGCCTTGTGACCACCAGAGGTGCTGTGTGCAGTTAGGCCTTGTTGACACTGGTTCTCGTGTTGCTTAGACTTGAGTGTACTGTTTACTTTGCTTTCTATATATCTCTGTTACTTCTTGGACTGGCCTTGTGGCCACTGTTGTTTGTGCTCAGACTGTGTGGTGACGTTGTGATCCACCCTGAGCTTCGTTTCTTGGACTGGTCTTGTGACCGTACTCGTTTGGTTCTGCTAGACACCCCTCACTTAGGCTATGGGGGTGTGTCAAATGTTGTAGCCTATAGTGAGGTTTGTCTTAGGGGGTACAAAACTTAGGGTTAGCTATATGTACCCCAACCAACATCAATGCATCATCCATTCCTCAAAAAAAAAAAAAAAAAAAAGAAGGTTCTAGGAAAGAACAGCTCTGATACCATGTTAGAATAGTAGCCTAAGTAGACTAGGGTATTATTCTTAACTATTTGGTGGTGCACCACTGTGCTCACCTTCCCTTGAACTATATCATGTATCTTGCTCATTAGTGTAAACCCCTCTTCTTCCGTTTCTCTCGCTACTCTCTTACCCCAAAACCCTAGTCTACTTAGGCTACTATTCTAACATGGTTTCAGAGCTGGTTCTTTCCTAGAACCTTCATTTTTTTTTTTCAGAAACATGGGCCCGCCCTTAATGCAGCGCGAAATGCGCTATTTTCTTCGTCCCGTCGCGCCCTGCGCCCGTCTGATTCGTCGCCCCGCGGCCCCCCATTTCGTCGCCCCGCGGCCCCTGATTCGTCGCCCCGCGGCCCCCCATTTCGTCGCCCCGCGGCCCCCGATTCGTCGCCCCGCTGCCCCCCCGTTTCGTCGCTACGCGGCCCCCATTTCGTCGCCACGCGGCCCCCGTTTCGTCGCCCCCGTCACCCCGCAATCCGCCAGCGCGGAGGCCAGCGCCGCGGCCAGCCGCCAGCGCCAGCAGCAGCTACCGCCGCCCCCCCCCCCCCCCCCCCCGCCCTCCCTTCCGCGGCTTCCGTCGTGGGGAGGGGGGAGGGAGGGGGAAGGGGTTGTGGGGAGGGGGGGCGGGTGTGAGGAGCCTGCCACTCCTCCCTCCCTTCCCTCTTCCTCTCTCCCTGCAGCAACTGTTGCTGTAGGGGGGGGGGGGGAGAGAAGTCCAGAAGGGTGAGGGGGTGGCGGGAGAAGACAGGTGCGGCGGGTGTGAGGAGCCTGCCACTCCTCCCTCCCTTCCCTCTTCCTCTCTCCCTGCAGCAACTGTTGCTGTAGGGGGGGGGAGAGAGAAGTGCAGAAGGGTGAGGGGGTGGCGGGAGAAGACAGGTGCGGAAGGTGTGAGGTTGACGGGGTTGAGTGACGAGGGGGGTGAGGTCTAGGGGGTTCTTAACGGGGGGGGATCGCATTGAGCGTGCGCGCTCATGCCCGCCTAGCCCACCTCCTCTCCTCATCGGGACTTGGGGGTTCTTAACGGGGGGGGGGTCGCGATGAGCTTTCGCGCTCAAGCCCGCCTAGCCCACCTCCTCTCCCTTCCCTCTCTCACCTCCCCTTTGTAAAAGGAGGTTCGTAAGCGGGTCCGCCGGTCCTGGCCCCCCACCTCCTCTCCTCTCCTCTCCTCTCCTCTCCTCTTCTCTCCTCTCCTCTCACCTTCCTCACTTCTCTGCCTTCTTCCACAGCGCTTGGTTTGCTCGTTCAGGGGGTGCTGGCTGCACCAGTTTCTACTGCACGCAGGCTAAGGGGGTGTGTCAAAGTTATGTTTAATATATATCCTGCGTGCTGTAGTTACTGCAGTTATTGTTCTTAACTATTTGGTGGTGCACCACTGTGCTCACCTTCCCTTGAACTATATCATGTATCTTGCTCATTAGTGTAAGCCCTCTTCTTCCGTTTCTCTCGCTACTCTCTTACCCCAAAACCCTAGTCTACTTAGGCTACTATTCTAACAAGCGGGTCCGCCGGTCCTGGCCCCCCACCTCCTCTCCTCTCCTCTCCTCTCCTCTCCTCTTCTCTCCTCTCCTCTCACCTTCCTCACTTCTCTGCCTTCTTCCACAGCGCTTGGTTTGCTCGTTCAGGGGGTGCTGGCTGCACCAGTTTCTACTGCACGCAGGCTAAGGGGGTGTGTCAAAGTTATGTTTAATATATATCCTGCGTGCTGTAGTTACTGCAGTTATTGTTCTTAACTATTTGGTGGTGCACCACTGTGCTCACCTTCCCTTGAACTATATCATGTATCTTGCTCATTAGTGTAAACCCCTCTTCTTCCGTTTCTCTCGCTACTCTCTTACCCCAAAACCCTAGTCTACTTAGGCTACTATTCTAACATTGGAGACAGCAGAAGCAAGGCAATCGTCTGATGATGTCCGTGCACACCTCTATGGGGTGAGCAGCTTTTAATTGCTCTCACATAGATATGCTGCACTGCAACTACAAGGCCGTGACAGACACCTCTCCACCATGACCAAAAGAACCCTCTCTGTGCAGAATAAAGAATCTTGGCCACCACTAGGCCAAGGTGAAAAATGTTTTTAGTTTATGCAATTGACAAAGCAAGTGTGCTCTATCTATACGTAGTAGCCTTTTTCTTGGCCTGCACCTGAATAATTCCTTCATTGAAATCCTCGTGCGTCATCTGCAACTAACACAATACAAAACATCGACACATTAGCAAAGCATGCCCTTAGCCATATCAAAATAAGGTGACATCAGCCACATACGGTACGGTAGGATAGGTGACGAAAAACGTAAACAAGCCACATCATAATAATCACCTCAGTCTTGCATGTAATAATTACTCTACCGTATGTACTCATTGTACAGCATTGTGGATGATCCAATTATTGTAAGCCTTTCCATTAAAACAGAGTGTACAACATCTCACAAAGGCCTACAGGCATCTGAATTTCACCCAGCTTAGGCTGATGGCCACTCACTGACCACCACGGAGGCGAAGCACCAGATGGAGAGTAGACTCCTTCTGAATGTTGTAATCGGCCAAGGTGCGACCATCCTCCAGCTGCTTGCCAGCAAAAATCAGACGCTGCTGGTCAGGGGGAATACCCTCCTTGTCCTGAATCTTAGCCTTGACGTTGTCAATGGTGTCGCTGCTCTCAACCTCCAGCGTGATGGTCTTCCCCGTGAGGGTCTTGACGAAAATCTGCATACCACCACGGAGGCGAAGCACCAGGTGGAGCGTCGACTCCTTCTGGATGTTGTAGTCAGCGAGCGCGCGACCATCCTCCAGCTGCTTGCCGGCGAAAATCAGACGTTGCTGGTCGGGCGGGATGCCCTCCTTGTCCTGAATCTTGGCCTTGACGTTGTCGATGGTGTCGCTGCTCTCAACCTCCAGAGTAATCGTCTTGCCGGTAAGGGTTTTAACAAAGATCTGCATGCCACCGCGAAGACGGAGCACCAGATGCAGGGTCGACTCCTTCTGGATGTTGTAGTCGGCGAGCGTGCGACCATCCTCCAGCTGCTTGCCGGCGAAAATCAGACGCTGCTGGTCAGGGGGGATCCCCTCCTTATCCTGAATTTTTGACTTAACGTTGTCAATCGTATCGCTGCTCTCGACCTCCAAGGTGATGGTCTTTCCGGTAAGCGTCTTCACAAAAATCTGCATGCCGCCACGAAGCCGAAGCACCAGATGGAGCGTAGACTCCTCGGTGCGCTGGTGCACTCGAGGAGAGAGGCGGACGTGGTGCGCGGGATCGCCATGCTTGATGGTGAGCTTTGGGAACGTCTTAATACTTGTGGGGGTACTGATTGGGACCGTGCGTCCTTTTGTCGGCTCAGGAGTGCGCGCTGGTGCACTCGAGGAGAGAGGCGGACGTGGTGCGCGGGATCGCCATGCTAGATGGTGAGTGTTGGGAGGGGCTTGGGAATTGCCATGTTGGAAGAGTACCTGGTGCGCGCTGGTGCATTCGAGGAGAGAGGCGGACGTGGTGCGCGGGATCGCCATGCTAGATGGTGAGTGTTGGGAGGGGCTTGGGAATTGCCATGTTGGAAGAGTACCTGGTGCGCGCTGGTGCATTCGAGGAGAGAGGCGGACGTGGTGCGCGGGATCGCCATGCTAGATGGTGAGTGTTGGGAGGGGCTTGGGAATTGCCATGTTATAGTCCGCAAGGGTACGGCCATCCTCCAGTTGCTTGCCAGCGAAAATCAAAAGTTGCTGGTCAGGAGGAATCCCCTCCTTATCCTGGATCTTGGCCTTAACATTGTCGATGGTATCGCTGCTCTCGACCTCAAGGGTGATGGTCTTGCCGGTGAGAGTCTTCACGAAGATTTGCATGGTGGCTGACGGAAACTACCAGATTACCAAACAAGCAGGCTGCTGTGGAGGTGAGAACAAACAGGTAGTAGCGGTCAAGCAAGCAGAAACCTAGCTCAAGAATGAAGAGAAATAATTCTGGAGGACAACTATATAGGTCCAACCAGACCAAACAAGCTCATCATTCCCCAGAAAGGTGCCATGGCGTGCTCCCCGAACCTCTCGTCGTGGGTGAAACCAGGAAGGTTGCGGAAGCGTGCTCTGCAAGATCCTCGCGAGCTGCGCGCCAGGCTCGACAACATGACGCGGTTTCAAAAGCTCAAACGGACCAATGAGAGTGAAAGTGGGTGGGTTCAGGGACCACGTGGGCGATTCGGTTTGGAGGAAAGCCGTTTTCGCTGACTCAGCGAGGACCACCGAACCGGGTCATTGAACGCAATGAGGCCACCAGGCTTCACACCTGCTAAAACAAACCTACAACCAGGACGGTGAATCCAAGACGCAACCTCGCAACAATGCATTCCCTGAGCGAAACACTTCAATGATGGTGAGCAAATGTAAGTAAACTTGCAAATGTAAATCAAGCTAATATAAATGTGTACTCATGTCCATCACGCAAATGTGTTTATTTCACATGAAAAGCCGGTGGTCACGGTATACCGAAGAGCGGTCAGCACTGGAGGAGCCATCAAAGGCTGCTGCAGAGGCGTAGGGCAAACCACCTTGCTGGAGCAAGGAATTAATCCCTTGCAAAAACACAGGCGCGCCAGAAGGATCTAGAAACGGCACTAATCCAGTATCGTGAAGAATACCCAGGAGCCCAACAACTGCGCACGTTATCGCAATGTAACACAAGGCTTGCGCGCGAGCCTGGAGTAGGAAAGTGGGCGACGGATACCGTCGACTCCGGGGCGAAAGAGTCTTCGGGCGTTGGTGGTGTGGTTGCGCAGCAGGCGCGGTTACTGCTCGCAGTGATGACAATTCCGACCCTGAAGCCCCAGCTTCTACTGACAAAGGAGCCAAGGGTGCTGATACGGCTGCTGAGGACAATGACGCTGAGGATGATGCTGACAATGATCCCAAGACTAATGGCCGATCTGCTGCTGCAGGTGTGAGTGGTAGTGGTGGCACTGATGCCGCTTGCTCGTCCCTTTGAACCAAACCCTCTGAACCTGGAGGAGCCACTGCTGGAGATGCTGCCAGACCTGGTGCCAGACCTGCTGCCGGACCTACTCCCGGACCTGCTGCCAAACATGCTGCTGCTGTGACAGCACCACCTCCATCGCCCTTCATGCCCGATGCCTCACAGCACCCAGCTGGACTCAAACAACTTACTTGCTGATTACCCACAGGCTGCTCTTGAAACAAGGCCTGCCCTCCAGGCACAGTCAGCCCATTACCCTCTTGTGACTGCAAAAATGGCTGTGCTTGTGAGGCATCGACAAGCAGAGCCTGTGAATTCTGTAGTCGTGCCTGTCCTCCTGCATCTGCCTCTGCGTCTGCATCTACCTCTGCCGCTGCCTGTGCCTCTGTCTGTAGCCCTGCCCGTGCCTCTGCCCGTGCCTCGCCTCGTGCCTCGCACTGCACCTCGCACTGTTCTGCCTGCTGGAGCAGGGAAAGCGGCTCAACATCCTCCGCCCCTGCTGCTACAGCTCGGCCCAGACTACTCAAACGGCACACATCCGCCTTGCAATAGCGATCAGGTGACCTCTCAGGTGACCTCTCAGGGTGCTTCTTCGCCAGGAAAGGGCTATCCACTAGCGACGGGCAGAAGCAGCTGAGAATGCTTTCCGAAAGATCCAGATCATCCAGCTCATCCAGCTCATGAGAGAGAGAGGCTGAACCTGCTGAATGGAGCAACCCGGGCGGGTGGTGAATGTCTGGCGAGCGGTTGGAGGAAAGGGGGGTGCCTGTGAAGGATAGAGCAGCGGACGAGCCACGAAAGCCCAGGATTTTCTCGAATGATCGGGTCAGGGATCCATGCGTGTGTAGCAATCTGCTGCTGGCGCTACTGCTGGCGGTGCTGCTGGCGGTACGGCTGCTATCCCTGTCTGTGTCCTTGTCCCTGCTGCCGCTGCTGCTTCTGGTGCTGCTGGTGCTTCTTCCCCTGTATCTCCGACTTTCCCTACCCTCCTCGCTCATTGCAGAGTGGTACCTCCCAACTAGAGTGATGCGCAGCCCACGGCTCACCTGGGCAAGGGGTGTCCACGGGGTAGCAGGTGGGGGGGGGGGGGGGGGGGGGGGGGGGGGAGGAGGGATGAAAGACACATTGGCAAGGGGATGTGCAAGGGATGGGTGCGCACACATGGATTATGCGAGCACGTGCGTGCCTGCATGTGTGTGTACTGTGTACATGTGCGTTTACGTGTGAGGAGTCAGTCGATTTTTGAGTCGACTAAAAAATCGACACATCACACATGGATGTATGCAAGCACGTGCGTGCCTGCATGTGTGTGTACATATGCGTTTGCGTGTGAGAGTGTGCGCATGCTTCTGCGAGTCTGCGTGCGAGGCGAGAGTGTGTACGTGAATCTGTGTGCGTGGGTGTGTGTGTGTGTGCGCTTGTGTCTGTGGCAGCGGCTTACCTCAATCGCAGAAACGAAGAGCGAGGAGGCCGGCGGTTGGAAGCAGTCAAGAGCCACAACGATGCAACCAAAGACATGCGTGCCCACACAGCAGAGCGATGCACAGCAGAGCAATGCACAGCACGCCCAACAACACAAGCAAAGGGGAGAACAGCAGATGCACATGCAACACGCAGGCTTCAAACATGCAGCTTACCTCGATTGCGGAGACGAAGAGCGAGGAGGCCGGGGGTTGGAAGCAGTCAAGAGCCACAACGATGCGACCAAAGACATGCGTGCCCACACAGCAGAGCACGCCCAGCAGCACGCCCAGGCTGAGGCCCAGATAGAGCTTGCCTATTGAAGACGAGGGCTGGAAAATGGACTCGTCTGAAAAAAACCTGAGGGCGAGGGAAGGGGGAAGGGGGTCCGGAACAGGGAAAAAAGGGGGTGGGAGGTGAAGAGGGGAGGGAGGGCATGAAGGGGTGGGGCCCACAGAATGGGGAGCGGGGAACAAACACGTGCAGGTGGCTTAGCACCGGAGTAACTTTTGAGTCGACTCAAAAGTCATCACGCCTTACAGATGCCGTACAAAACCCTACAAACGCCTACAAACCCCAATGAATCCAAGGAAACCCTTGTCACTCAACAAAAAGCATTCCTCAAGCTCACCACTTGGTGATGGGCGGCAGCGAGGTGCATGAATATGCCCTGGTGCGGGGGAGGCGGGCACTGGCGCATGGAGTGCGGAGGCGGTAGCCCTACAAACCATTCGAACCTTTCCCACCCCTCAGCACTCAACCTCACCGGAACTCACCACTTGGTGATGGCGACGGCAGTGAGGTGCATGAAGATGCCCTGGCCGGAAGGAGGCAGGCACTGGTGCATGGAGCGCGGCGGGGGCAGGTGCACCCTGTGGGGGTAACACCTAGTGGTCTACAGTCCTTTGAGAACCCGTAGATACTCACCATTTCGTGATGGCGGCGGCAGCGAGGTGCATGAATATGCCCTGGCGCGGGGGCGGCGGGCATTGGCGCATGGAGCGGGGCGGGGACAGGTGCACCCTGTGGGGGTGGCGCGGGTCGTACAGGCACTTGTGCAGCGAGGCCACCTGGGGGGAGGACAGGGGGGAGGACGTAGGCGGAGGGAGGGGGTTGGAGGGGTGGGGGGAGGGGAGGAGAAGGGTCAGGCCAGGTGCACCCTGTGGGGGGGGGGGGGGAACGAGGGGGGAGAGATGTCTAGTTTTGAGGCGCCTCAACACTGGGGTGTGCGGAGAAGGGTCAGGCCTGGTGCACCCTGTGGGGGGGGGGGGGGGGGGGGGGGGGGGGGGGAAGGAGGGGGGAGAGATGTCTAGTTTTGAGGCGCCTCAACACTGGGGTGTGCGGAGAAGGGTCAGGCCTGGTGCACCCTGTGGGGGGGGGAGGGAGGGGGGAGAGATGGGAGAGGAAGCGGGAGAGGGGGGGAGAAGGGGGGAAGGAGGGAGGGACGAAGGGATTGGAGGAGAAGGGGCAGGTGCACCCCAGCAGCAGGGGGAGAGGGGAAATGGCAGCAGGGGGAGAGTGGTGGGGAAATGGCAGGAGGGGGAGAGTGGTGGGGAAATGGCAGCAGGGGGAGAGCGGCAGCAGCAGGGGACGCACCTTGTACTTGTCTTTGGCTCGCCATGCCGCGTTGAAATCAGGGCGGCACTGGGAGGACGGCAGGGACAGGGACAGCGGGTCGGGGAGAGCCGTGGTGGTTCGGATCGTCGTGATGCTCCCTTGCTGATCCCCTTCCTCCCATTCCTCCGCTTGCTCCCCTTGAACGCGTTGACTCGTTTGGCCGCGTTGACCCGCTGGACCGCGTTCACTCGCTTGACTGCGTTGACCGCGTTGACTTTTCTGGCGCCTGTGCTGACGCAGCGAGCGCCACGTGTTGGACGGGGAGTGGAAGGACACGTTGAGGTCGAGCTGGATGAGCGCCGCCCAGTAGTAGGTGAAGTGACAGCGCGTGGCGGACGGGGAGAGGGGCAGCGCGGAGAGCAGCGGGTGCGGGAGGAGCGAGAGCAGCGACGTGGAGAGGGAGGAGGGCGCGGAGGGGGGGTTGGCGGAAGGGGAGGCCGTGGCGGAGGAAGAGGGGGTGGGGGAGGGGGGGGGGGGGGGGGGGAAGCGGAGGAGGAGGGGCAGGAGAAGGGGAGGGAAGAGGAGGAATGACAGGAAGAGGGTTGGTTGGGGGAGAAGGAAGGAGGAGGAGGGGAGGGGGGGTGGCGTAAGGGGAGGAGGAGGCGAACGGACGAGAGGCGGGATGCGGCGAGGCTTGCGAAGGGGCTTGCCACGTGCGCGGCGAGGATGATGGTAACCAGGTGGGCGACGAGGACGAGGAGGAGGAGGTGTCGTTGACGGTGCACAGCTTGACGGATCGCAGATCCACACCTGGCGAAAAAACAAATGGCGAGACCAGGAAATAGCGAAATCAGAGAATGGCGAAATCGAGTGACGGCAAAAATCAGGAAATGGCGAGAGGTAATGGGGGAGGGGTAATGGGGAGGTGGAGCGGGGTGAGGAGGGGAAATAGAAAGAAATGAACGACTTCTGGGTTCACCGAATCAGGAAATGATCTCACCTGCGGAAACGACGCGGCACGTGCCCTTGGACATTGCGGCCGGATCAGGCGGCATCTGCAGCCAAAGCGCGCCGATTCCGACCGACAGGAAGAGGAGATTCACGAGCAGCAGGAGGGACACGGCGCACGTTAGCCACCAGCGGATGTACTTAAAACGCGTACGCTGCCCGCGCAGGCACGCGGTGATTATGCGGACGACGGGGACGCCTATACAGAGGCCGGCGACGGGGACGGACGTGGCGACGGCGATCACGATGACTTCTGCGAACTCGACGAGCGACGACGCTGCGAAGGCTGCGACGTCGGTGAGCGACATGGACGACGCCATCGCTCGAAGGTCACGCGAATGACGGTCTAAGACAGCGTGAGATATCAAACGAAAAAGAGTATAACCCCACAGCTCAGCGCTACAGTGACAACGCTGCAGGTGATGACTTCCAATGCTGGAGAGAAAAAAAAAAAAAAAAAAAAAAAAAAAAAGGTGAAGGCCTGGTTTTATGGGAACAAACGGAGGACCTCCAGTCTCAGTCGGAGTCGAACGGGCGTAACACTAGCAGGGTGACTCTGACGATATTGAATGAAATACTCTACGCGGCATGAGCAGAGGAACAGAATGGCCGATAAGCTTTGTTAGGGAGGCTTTGGATTCAATCAGTGAGGAAACGAGTCGGCCGTGCGTGCTATTCGTGTTATTCTCGTATCAGACGGCAGGTATCCCAGGCATTCCAGCGCAGAGAGCAGTGCTATGTAGTCTGGAAGGTACTCTTTTTCGCAGCCTGCACTATCCTTAGTGTTAGTCTCTCCAGATCCTTCAGAACGCTATAAAGTGGTGTATCGCGTTACCTAGCGTTACAGAGCGTTTCCAATAGTTTCACGACATGACCAGGTGATTTCAACCGCCCAGCATCCTCACGTTGGATCCCAGGGGGCACCCGCTTGCTGCCTACGCTTGCTGGCTCGCACGACTTCAGGGAAGGAAGTTGTGGAGGGCATACGATGCGACGTCGCACAGCGTGGTAAGGGTGAGACAACGGCGTCGCGGAGCACGACCCCGACGACTTCCTGCTCATTTGTTATTGGCCGTGCAGTCAGTCGCCTGGCGGATTTTGAGAATATTGGTCGGTTCCCTCGTTTGTGGGAGCAACTTTCCTTTTGAAGCAGCTCCCCTTCGTTTTAATATCGTGACAGTGAATGTGGGTTGGAAGGGGCGTGCCTACTCCAAAAAGCTACGTGTACATACACCTTCCCGTTCATTTTTGCCACTCTACAGTCTCTGGATGTGCCGTATAACAAGACACAGTTTAGCGAGATACTGCACAAGCCAGTCAGAAGAATGCGTCTGTTTGCCAAGTGTCATCAGCATCACTGCACCACGTCAACAGAAAAACACCTCTCGTTCATGTTTTCCAGTCCGGTCAATTCCACTGGCATTCCGATTACGCCAGTGCGGGTTTGCGATTGTATGCGTTTGACGGAATCGGAGAAAACATGACGGCCCGGCGGGAAAACCACGGGGTTACCCGTGTTCAGGGTTGAGGCTCCCCGACCGTATGTCATCCGGATGGGTTTTTTTTCTGACCGCGGGCAGTTAACAGTCCTGCAGCGCCTTTCCTGATGGTCGTCAGTTGCATACATTTGCAAATCGCACTGGCATAATTTGCATGTAAATGATGTTGTCCCTTTTTCCAGTCCCATATTCCAAAATGTGCATTTGCAGCGGCCAACTTCATACATACACAAATTATTCCCGAGCGAATTCTCAGGTGTAATCACCAACAGAAACACAGTTTCGCGATATAGTGTTAGTCTATTCTGGTTGTTTTCGGTATACAGTCACGAAAAAACTGTTACAGCACTTGAATGAAATCTTTATAACCTGTAGCGGACCTGTATGAACTTCGGGACGGATCAACCCTAAATACAACGCGAAGCCGCCCAATAATTTGGAAATACCACCTGACCCAAAAATAAAACCCAGGGTTTAGGGTTGCGACTCGGGAGGCATCAACCCTAAAAACAATGCCCTTTCCCGTGTTTAAAGCCCGAGTCCCAAATTGCGGGCCGCGCGGGTCAAGCTTTTAAAACTTGACGAACTAGTGTTTTCAAGGTTTGAAGAAAAGCGTGCCTGCAATTTGGGACTTTTGGGAACTGAACCAACCCCCAGGGCGAAATACGAGGGCGGGCTGGGTTTGGCGAAAAAAAACGAAAAAAGCGAAATCGGAATCTTTCGCCAAAACCCTCACCACAAAAACCCCCTCGCGTCAACCTTTTAAAACTTGTGCAATTTGGGCTGCCGGCTTTAAGGTTGATCCCTCCCAAAAATGCCTCCACGTTCCCTAGAGGGTTTATTTTTTTCGGCCCTGCCGTATACTTTAATCTAACACATTCAATTCGAGAGGGTAAACTGGATGGTTCTGTTTTTGTCACTTCCTCAAGATTTCGACCAGCGTGAAATGTGACTAAAAATCGACGACCAATCAACGTTGAGAAAGTCAAGGCTGATTACACCTGAGAACCCGCTCGGGAATGATTTGAGTATGTATGAAGTTGGCCGGCATTTGCAGCCTGCCAACCCCTAACAGCCCCTCCACACCACACCACCAGCACAATGCGGCGCCACTCTGCATTTACCCTTCTCCATTCCATCCCATTCGATTGGACACACGCACAGCACCGACACTAATTACAGTCTCCTACCGACCTACATAACTAACTTCACCGGAAGCTAAGGCAGCCCCTTGCAGCGCGCCTGGATGGCTGAACGAAATTCACTCAGGTCGGTCGGGAAGGCCCCTCTCGCCAGTTGCTCCTCACCCAAGCCACGCTGTGATGGACACACCATGTCACACCGAGACAGTCGCCCCGCGCAAGGAATTGAAGACCGCAAAATTGCATGGTACTATATAAAATGATTCTCACCTCTCGTGCTCGTATTACAAGGAAGTTGACGGTCCGATCCGCAGCCGATAAGGGTCCTTTTTGGGTCCTAGAGGGGTATTTTCAATATCAGCTGGTAGCCGCGTTCCACGCATAGCAGCATTCTAGGCATCCCCTCAAGGCGCCGTTTTAGCGCAGTCTTCTCGCTCACGGCGGCATGGCGATTAAGGGGTCTCCCGGCAGGTCTCCGAATAGCATCGCTGTTGGATGGGTGCTGCTCGCAGTCTTCCTTTCAAGTAAGCTTACACTGCCCACCCTCTGTTGCCATCCGTTTTCCGGATCAATAAATTTAAAAAAGTAGAGGTAGTTTCAGCAGTTCGAGAAAAGCCTCCTCCTGTCATCCGACCCTCATCAAACCCGGGTCCCGTGTTTTCTCCCCCTTTGTCCTTCTGATGCTTGCAGGCGCGGCATTAGCTGAGGTATTACTGTCTCACAGCACACCCACATTTCAGCCAACACATCTAACTCTGGTTCCGTTCCTCGTTAAATTCTTGCTGCATTCGTTTGTTTAGCGATATTGATGAAGCATGCACACCTTGATACTGAACACATATTTTAATACCGCATGCACCCATACCCCCCCTCACATCTGTATTATCTATTCACCAGTCCAAGACCATCATAGTGGGGTATGGCATATTCAGCCCCTGGCGGTACGGAGTCTCTGGATGGAAGCCCTTCAGGACAGTCCAACCAGGCGACCAGCTCAGTAAGTGCCTTGCTTTTTGTATGTGACTACATCTTATCTTCTCAACGACAAGGATTGCTGGTGTATACATTTTTTTTTTTGTAAATGGGTGTATATCCGTTATGCTCCAATCATAATCTCCTATTGTCTGCTTGGGATGGTTGCAGTGTTCAAGTGGTTGGGGGAGCACGATGTGTGGCGATTCCCCACGAAGATCGCGTACGACAATTGCGACTTCACCCTCGCGACCCAGCTACACCCCAAGACTGGCATTTTCGGGGCCCACTATTTTTACCCTGTGAAGGATATCCACAAGGGAACCACCCTCTATTTTGGGTGTGCAGTGGGGAATCACTGTGCTCGTAAGATGAAGGCCAAGGTTGTTGTCTCCTGAATGTGTGGCTGGCTTGTGTATCTGGGCCATATGTTTCCATGTATCATGTCCCTCACCATCTTGTATGATTCTGTCGTGTACCGGTTTTTGTAAGAAATGTCATGCTCTCAAGTGGTCAGGGATCATGTGTTGCTGTGTGCTTGTAATGACATCATACACTTCACTGAGGTACAAACTTCCATTCCATGCCTGGTCCACAATGGATACCGTATCTAACATGTCACATCACATAGTATCCTTGGTTGTGATTTTCGGTAATCGGCAATCATTTTCGCTCGAAGTCGAAATGCCTCTTGGATTTGCAGTAGGTTGCCTTGCCTATCGATGGTGACTTCCATGGCATTTGCGAAATGTATGGTGCTTGAGCTGAATGGTACTTAACGTAGGCACTACTGATACAGACCTGCTCTTCTGTGATCCAATGGGCAGCACATCACGGGTGTTGCTGTTGGTATTGTCAACTACATATCTTCAATTATTACTGCTTGCAAGTACTAACTCTTCAAAATTCGAGTGGTGAAACTACCATCCTGCTGTTCCGAACCCACTTCCCGGCATTGGCAATAGCGGGGCTGTTGTCGACGATACGGTAGCAAGACCCATGGCATGCAGTCCGTTGTTGACATAACAGCGTCACGCCAGTGATAGCTGAGGCCAGAAAGTAAGTTTCTTGTTTACCATATCTCATATCTTAATGAAACAGAGTGTACAATGCATCATTCTTCTACTTCCCGGCGTTGGCAATAGCAGGGCTGTCAACGGCAACACCCATAGCGTGCAGCCCATTGTCGACATACAGCGTCACTCCCGTGATAGCCGAGGCCAGAGGGGAGGCGAGGAAGGCCGCGGTGGCGCCGACCTCATCAGCATCAAGCTCCTTTGGAAGGGGGGCGTTGGCGGTGGAGTAGTTGATCATGTTGTCTATGAAGCCAATCGCCTTGGCCGCCCTGCTGCGCAGAGGACCTGAAAGAGGGGAGGGGAGGGGAGGGGGCGGTGGCAGAGACGGTGGGTGAATCAGCTACTCTCCCTCCCCCCCACCTCATCAGCATCAAGCTCCTTGGGAAGGGGTGCGTTGGCAGTGGAGTAGTTGATCATGTTGTTTATGAAGCCAATGGCCTTGGCCCCTGCTGCACAGAGGACCTGGAGGTTTGTGGGGTTGAGGGGGGGAAGAACCGGGGTGTGATGTGTCCCTGAGTGTGGCTCTCCCTTACGGGTGGTTTAGCTGTGCCACTAACGTAGGTAATAGCAGGGGGAGGAAATTTGCCCATACCTGGTGTGGTGTGGTGTACCATTACCATCTGGTGTGGTGTGGACTGAACCCCATACCTGCAGAGATGGTGTTGACGCGGATACCATACTTGCGCCCTGCCTCCCATGCCAGCACGCGCGTGTCGCTCTCAGAGAGCATTCTTGCTGTTCTAACGAGCAATACCAACAGCGCCTCATGACCTGCAGGAAAGGCACCAAAGCTACCGGCTACCACAAGGCACCTGATCTGGCGGGCAGCAGTACCTGCAGAGATGGTGTTGACACGGATGCCATACTTGCGCCCTGCCTCCCATGCCAGCACGCGCGTGTCGCTCTCGAGAGCAGCCTTGGCGGAGCTCATGCCTCCTCCGTACCCGGGGATGATCTGCTCCGATGCGATGTAGGTCAGGGAGACTACGGACCCGCCTGGAAGGCAAGGAATTGGTGGGGAAAGGGGGAGCGAGGATGGGGTTTAGGGTGTCGCTCTCGAGAGCAGCCTTGGCGGAGCTCATGCCTCCTCCATACCCGGGGATGATCTGCTCCGATGCAATGTAGGTCAGGGAGACGACGGACCCGCCTGGTGGGAGGGGGAAAATAGACGAGTATGGATCAGGATGACTCTCAAGAGCAGCCTTGGCGGAGCTCATGCCAGCGCCATACCCGGGGATGATCTGCTCCGATGCGATGTAGGTCAGGGAGACGACGGACCCGCCTGGTGGGGGGAGAGGGGGAGAGGAGTCAGAGCGGACCAAGGAAGGGGCAGGGAGTGAGGGAGAAGGGGGGGAAGAGGGTGAGGGGGAGTGAGTGGGTGAGGGAGAAGGAGAGGAAGGAGAGAGGGGAGTGGAGAGGGGGAGGGAAGGGTGGCGGTGGTGGCGACTTTTGAGACGTCTCAAAAGTCGGGAGCGGAGAGGGGGAGGGAAGGGTGGCAGTGATGGCGGTACACACTTCAGAAGTTTTAACGGAAGCATCTGGGTGGGTTGGTAATACTCCTTACCGGGACTCGTGACTCAGCAGCGCCTTACCTGGGTTGGTGATGGGGCCGAAGCGCTGCACGAGGGAGATGAAGGAGAAGGAGGAGGCGGAGATGGCGGCCAGGTACCCCTTGCGGGAGGTGTCAAGCAGATCCTTGGTGACCTCGGGGCCGTTGGCCAGCGAGTGCACGAGAATGTCGATTGAGCCGTAATCCTCCTTCACCTTGGCTGCTACTTCCTGGCGAAAGGGAGGGGAGGAGGGCATTGAGGGGGCGAGGGAGGGAAAGATGAGGAACAGCGGGTGGGTCTCATCAGTTCGCTCACAAGTATTTGCTCCATAGTCCACCCTTGTGAGTGAAAACTTGTGAACAAGCTTGTACGAACTATAGTCCACCCTCTGCTCCGTAGTCCACCCTCTGCTGCATAGTCCACCTTAGACCCAGCAGAGCACTTGTTGGTGAGGACCTGCTCTGCACCCTTTTCACCCATCATGTGCACCTCTATCCACCCACCTGAACCGATCTCAACCCATCTCCACCCCCACTGGTTTGCAACCTCCCTCTCACCTCCCTCTCACCTCCTCGGTCCACCCGGTGGACCCAGCGTAGCGCTTGTTGGTGCGGATCTCCTCGGGAACATCGCTTAGCGTGTAGTTTCTGGTAGGAATGTCCCCACCATGCACCCCACACCCATACGCACCCACCCGCACCCACTCTTGCCCCTCTTTCTAACCTCAACAGTCCACCCAGTGGACCCGGCGTAGCGCTTGTTGGTGCGGATCTCCTCGGGCACATCGTCCAGCGTGTCGAAGACAGCGTCCATGGGGTAGACCTTGGCGATGTTGAACAGCGACCCGTCGGACAGCCTGACGCATGGGAGAAACGGGGAGGGGAGAGGGCAGGGGTGAGCAGGGGTGAGCAGGGGTGGGTGAGCAGGGGTGAGCAGGGGAGAGGGCAGGGGTCAGCATGGGGGAACGTTGCCCAGCGTGTTGAAGACAGCGTCCATCGGGTAGACCTTAGCAATGTTGAACAGCGACCCGTCAGAGAGCCTGTGAGGGAGCAGCGAGGAGAGTTCATATGCACGAACGAATATGGGGCAGGAGTGAGGACGGGACGGGGCATGGGGAACATCGTCCAGAGTGTCGAGGACGGCTTCCATAAGATACGCCTTGGCGATGTTGAAGAGCGAACCATCGGAGAGCCTGACGGGGTAGGAGAAGAGTGAGTGGTATGACCTGGGGACCTGGTTCACGGGGAGAAGGTTTTAGAGAATTCTCAAAAACCGGTTCACGGGGAGAAGGTTTTAGAGAATTCTCAAAAACCGGTTCACGGGGAGAAGGTTTTAGAGAATTCTCAAAAACCGGTTCACGGGGAGAAGGTTTTAGAGAATTCTCAAAAACCGGTTCACGGGGAGAAGGTTTTAGAGAATTCTCAAAAACCGGTTCACGGGGAGAAGGTTTTAGAGAATTCTCAAAAACCGGTTCACGGGGAGAAGGTTTTAGAGAATTCTCAAAAACCGGTTCACGGGGAGAAGGTTTTAGAGAATTCTCAAAAACCGGTTCACGGGGAGAAGGTTTTAGAGAATTCTCAAAAACCGGTTCACGGGGAGAAGGTTTTAGAGAATTCTCAAAAACCGGTTCACGGGGAGAAGGTTTTAGAGAATTCTCAAAAACCGGTTCACGGGGAGAAGGTTTTAGAGAATTCTCAAAAACCGGTTCACGGGGAGAAGGTTTTAGAGAATTCTCAAAAACCGGTTCACGGGGAGAAGGTTTTAGAGAATTCTCAAAAACCGGTTCACGGGGAGAAGGTTTTAGAGAATTCTCAAAAACCGGTTCACGGGGAGAAGGTTTTAGAGAATTCTCAAAAACCGGTTCACGGGGAGAAGGTTTTAGAGAATTCTCAAAAACCGGTTCACGGGGAGAAGGTTTTAGAGAATTCTCAAAAACCGGTTCACGGGGAGAAGGTTTTAGAGAATTCTCAAAAACCGGTTCACGGGGAGAAGGTTTTAGAGAATTCTCAAAAACCGGTTCACGGGGAGAAGGTTTTAGAGAATTCTCAAAAACCGGTTCACGGGGAGAAGGTTTTAGAGAATTCTCAAAAACCGGTTCACGGGGAGAAGGTTTTAGAGAATTCTCAAAAACCGGTTCACGGGGAGATCCTGGGAATAAGAGGTCCATTTCGCGACGGCGTCACCACGACAAGGGGTTTACGGCAGATGGATATATGAAGCAACGGTAACCGCGTACGGTAGCAGAAACGCACACGACGAGAGAACACGATGTTGAGACCTCTCGAAACACACAAGAGAACCTCAACATGTTTCCGTACGCGGAGCGACGGGAGTGGGGAAGAGCAGGGGAGGAGGGGGGGAATGAGAGGAGGAAGAGGTGAGGAGGGGGAATGAGAGGAGGAAGAGGAGAGGAGGGGAATGAGAGGAGGAAGAGGAGAGGAGGGGGAATGAGAGGAGGAAGAGGAGAGGAGGGGGAATGAGAGGAGGAAGAGGAGAGGAGCTTACTTGCGCGACTCGTCGAACTTGCCCCTCCGTAGGCTGGTCTCGAAGATGGAGAGCGCCTGTTGCGGCCGATGGACAGGAGGGAGAGCAATGGAACAAGGGAGAAACAAGCAACACGGACAGGGAGGGCAACGCACACACAGAGAGCACACGTTGCGGAAGGAGACGACGGTTGGGTAACAGAATACGAGACTGTTGACGGAATCTTGGGGTGTAGAGTAACCAACAAACGAGACGATTAACGAGGGACGTACGCGGTTCGATGCGAGT